CGAGGCGAGCGGACGTTCACCGGGTCGCTTGTTCCCAGGCAGCATACAGTCAGCGCATCGTGCGAGTCATGGCGATCATTCTCAGCGCTGGTATTATGAGATGCTCCTGCCATTGATGCAATTGGGCTTCACGAGACCAGGTGGAGGTGGAGGGTTTACGATTAGTGTGCATGTTTGGTCCGGCCAAGCTGTGTCGCTGGAGTATAGTCATTCTGACTGAAGACGAGCCCGATCCGGCGATCGATAACCCGGATGGGGGCTAGGACGCGTGATGGTCGAGGACGCAGGTCGGTTGGTGTGTGAGGGCATGTTGGCGACGCCTGCCGCGGTGAGGTTCGACGAGGGGTGCCAAGCATCACGTGCTGTCTAGCGGCGGTCCGAGCGCGAAACCCTCTCATCTGTCGCGTCGCGCTTCATCGCCAAGCATCTCCTCTACTGCATCCACGCCGCCACCAGGCGGACGCAGGCTCAGTACAGCCTATACTCACGCTTTGATCACAACTAACAGTTGACGATGCGATATATGCTAACCGGCTACGAGCAGCATGTCGCCCAATCGTGTGTTGCCGTCTAGGAACACGCTGACACCAACATTACCAATGCTCTCAACATCGTCTCAACGATGCTCCTCATCCGCCAATCTTAGTGCAAGGTTCCACGCAATTGCAAATATCACAATCGCCATCGCAAATTCTTGACTTCAGGCGGATTAGAGCGGCGTCAACGCCAACCATCCCTAGCTTACGCGATGTTGCGATATAGCTTTGTCCAGCCACCGCCTCCCGGTGGAGAAGTCGAAAGAGAACGGCTCAATACGAGCTACATCTGAAGGCTAAGAGAACCGAGTAAGCATCGCCGTATTGTGGGAGTCTCAAAGCTGACAGCAACAGCAGTCTTACGATCATCCCGACGCGAGACCAGGCTCTAGTTTGAGCCAGAAGCGCATTCTTTTCTTCGTAGTCTTCCGACCGTACCTACCCGTGCCTCCAACATGCCGCCCATGTCTCCGCGCTCATCGCAAAGCTCCCGGTTATCCACCGATACAAGTTGATACCCTCTTCTCCATCGTCTTTTCGCTAGCCGGATTACTGTGGGCGGGGTCCATATCTTGGCTACGGAGTAAATCTCCCTAGGAGGTTAAGAAGGAGCTCAGTCGTGTGTCGGACTTCTACATGACATTTCTAGCGGCAAAAGATGCGTCGCTAGACTTGCTAAAAAGAGCAGCTGATAGCCAAAACGTGCTCATGCGAAATTCGCTCATTCGAAAACGCGCTCACGGCAGTATGCGCTTGTTTGAGAAGGCGCTTATCTCGTGCAGCTAGGTGGCTGATCCGGCAGGGTGCCTCATGGCAAGGACTAGACTCGGCTGCGCACTCGTGGGCGACATGTGTTGAAGGCCTGGTGCGTGGGATGACGGCGTCGGAACCAAGCCCACAGCAGCGGGTAATATGCCCTCAGACCGCTTGCAGTGGAGCGGGCCGTTGGACAGGGTCCGTGCTCGCGTATGGCTTCACCAACCTCACCCTGGTTCGCGGGTCGTGTCTGCATCCCCGCTTACTGTCAGCGTGGCGCCTCTGCGCCCGCCGTAAACATCCAGTACATGTACACATGTAAGGTCATGATGCGTCGCGGCTCGCTATCGCGTTCTCACCGGCCAACATGACACACGATTCAACACCATACCCATACCCGTATTCGCAGGCTGCGCAGCTAGATCCGCGCATCACCATCCCTAGGCCTTCGATCGATCCCGGTCTAGCACCTTTTATCGACTCTGCTCTCTTACCGGAAGAGTTGGACGTAGCCTTCCTCCGCGGCTTCGATGTTGGTGGCATTCCTGAACCAATCCTCGCCGCAAACCCGCATCTGACGCATACGGAGTATGCCGTACCCGGCTCGTGCGGCCACAGCATCGCCTTGTCAGTCTTCGCCCCGAAGGCCTCGCCCAATGCATTACCACTCCTGTATTACATACACGGTGGCGGCATGATCTCAGGCGATCGCTTCAGCGCTGTCGCGCAACTAGTCGATCTCGTCCAAGACATCCCATGCGTCATCGCCTCGATCGAATACCGGCTCGCACCCGAGACGCCTGCACCAGGCGGCGCCGAAGACTGCTATGATGGCCTCGTCTGGCTCTCGACGAACGCCGCGCGCCTAGGCATCGATCCAGCCGAGATCGTGATCTGTGGGTCCTCAGGCGGTGCGCCTCTCGCTGCAGCAACCTGTCTCATGGCACGCGACAAAGCAACCCCAACCGTGCCGATCAAAGCGCAAATGCTATTGTCGCCCATGCTCGACGACCGCTGCGACAGCGTCTCAGACCACCAGTTCGAGTACGGTGTGCCCTGGAACGGCGCCACGAACCGCGCGGCCTGGAACCACGCCCTTGCCGGTCAGCGTGGCACCAACACGGTCACCGCATATCAGGCCCCATCCCGCGCTACCGACCTGTCCAACTTACCTCAGACTTACATCGATGCGGCTGAATGCGAGGTCTTCCGCGATCCTGCAGTCATGTATGCTATGAATATGTGGCGGTGTGGTTCTTCGTGTGAGCTGCATGTCTGGCCCGGGGGGACGCACTTGTTTGATGCTGTTGAGAATCCGAAGGTGCCGGTCGTGGGGGCTGCGATTGCGGCGAAGAGGGCTTGGCTGAGGAGGATGATGCTGCCGTTGGGTGATGACGGGCGCACGGCATGAGATGATCATATCCTTTCTTGATAGCAGAACCTAACCAGATTGTTTGAGCTATGAGCTTCTGGGCTGTGCACTCGTGATCTGCACTATCGCACCCTGAACTTCTCTCTTTGTGTCACATTTTGACTGACGAGTTTAATCAGTAGAGATACATCAGTCATGCCTAGTTCGAACAGATGACAATCACCACTGACGAGGACCCAACACCCGTCTCGATCCGGTCTGAGAAGACACGGTGCCATGGCGCCAGAAATGATGCAGACTACATCGCCACATTGTGCATCCCCAGGTACGATTGCAAGGTGACCATCTTCCATGAGCGCAATTCTGCAATGCTGGAGAGCGTCGTGAAGGTCACTGACCTCAATGTGAAATGGTATCGAATCGCGCTGATGGTGAGTGAGAACTTGGTCTTGATTGGAGCGGATGGGACTCACCCCTCCATGGCTTCTGCGGGTCAAGCCAAAATGAAGATCTACGCCATCCATGAGAGATAAAGCTGCAATGTCATTAATACTGAGCGTGACATGTATCGTGAACAGGCTTACCGTTGATGATTTTCTGACTAAAGTCCACAGGCATGGTCGTAACGTTGCATGTGCTTTCAGGAACGAGATCTTGCCGAGTGTTAGGCAGACTGTTGTAGATAGCCTTCATTTGGTTCTCCGCGTCATGCATGTCAATGAAATGGAACTTCGGACTGCACTCGACGACATGGCTATGTCGGTATCCCGAGACGTGAAGCTCCAGACGATGGCCGTGTTGCAGATAGGAATATGACAGCCGAATTCGTTCTTGTTGGCAGGAAGCAGGAATACTTATTGCGCCTTCGTGGCTCAGTACTTCGTAGTCATGCTCATCGTAGAACGCATTATAATGGAGTGGAAGAGTTTGTGACCAGTCTGGAATCCAAGACGCCATGTCCAGTTTATGTGGATGACGGGTAGCGCTGAGTATGCGAAGGCCGATTACAGGTAAAAGGTATGTTGCAACTCGCTGGAAAGTGTCATCCACGCTCCGCATATAGTCGATTAGGTGGTCCAATTCAGATTGTCTGGGACCGACCAAAGATCTTAAGGCGAATACCTTGTCTCTTGGATCTGTTGCTAGACAATGCCTAGCCTCGTACAAATGACGCCACAGGCTGAACTCTGGTGTTGTGTATTCTCGTTGCTCGCGGTGTATTAACTCGAAAGGTCGGGGCCATTGGGACAGGGTTACCATGGTGTTGCTGTTGTACCCAAAGTAAAGCCTAACCAGAGCTCTGAATGGGATGATGGCAGAGCCGTAGACTATTGTAACGTATGGATTCGCGCAGGCCTCTTGGAGGACCCAGGTTCTCTTGAACCATGGGTCTTTGAACAAGATTTCGAGCTGTCTGACGATAGCTGCACTGGGCCGGGGTCGCACAAGCTCTGCACCGGACTCTATGATGTCGTTCACTTCTGCTAACTCGTCCAGTAACAGGCGACTGTCAGGGATCTCATCGCTAAGCATCACCATAACTCGCAACGCGCAGTCGTAGATTTCCTTCATCATGCAGACCTGCGAGCCTCGCTCCTGGAGGTTTGCCTGGTTGATACAAACAGCATCGATCCATACCGTTCGATCTTCATGTACCAATCGCAAGCGACGGAGGGCAGCATGGCAGTTGTTTCCAATGCTTAGCCTCTCGGTACTGTCATTGAAGTAGATTGAGTTCGTGCGAGTACTGTCACCCCATGTGTAGGACACCGCTTCGTATGTAATTAAATCAGGGCAAATTTGTGGGTAACGTGTGGTGAACGGAAGCCCTACATGACGTATTGTGCATGAGATAGGCTCTGACTCGGTTGGACTCGGATGTAGGACAAGGATACGAATAGAGTCGCTGTGCTCTAGCGGCTGGTATTGGTAAGATGACATCCCCACGCTGAAGAAATATGTGGAGAGGTTGTAACATAAGAAGACTGAACTGCGGTGCTTGAAGTTGTTAGGCAACAGCTCTACTGCGGGTGGCAACTGCCTGCATCGAGCAGGTGGGGGTAGTGCTGTGGCGCAGACAACACCAATAACCTCGCCCACCCTCTCCCGATCAAAACCCATCCCCCTCAACACCCTCCCTAACCCTCCTCACAACCCCCTCAACCACCCCATCCTCAACAACCCCCTCCTGCCAACAAACCCCCAACGTCAACCCCCCATCCGCCCCCGTAACCACACTCGTCGTAACCGCTACCCCAAACGCAACAGCACTGCGACTGAATACCATCCTACCCATTCGCCAATGCGCCGCATCATCATTACAACAACGAAGCGGATCAGCAAGCGTAGGACCAAAGCGCCCCAAGTTCGACACCTCGAACGCAGCGTCGCGATTAGTACCTAGGAGGGACGAGAAGACTGCAGCAACATCAGGTATGAGTTTAAAGGGCGCGATGGAGGTGTATGGTTCGCCGGTTGGTGAGGTGTTGGCGAGATAGGACGAGATTTCGCGAGATGTGTGGTGTGCGGCGCGCAGACCATGCGGTCTGTCTACGTGGTCGTCACCGCTTTGTCCGTACTGCGATCGCCGTATTTGCACTTTCATCGCGTCGATGAAACTGCCCATTGCGCCGTCTGCTGAGTTCGCGGGAAGGTTGAGCCACGGACGGAGGTTGATGGGTATGATACCTGTGAGTGCTTCGATATCTTCTGGTAGAGCAGAGAGGAGAGCGCCCGCTAGGACGGCGGTGAGACCGGATGTTACTGTTATGCCGTTGTGCTTACACCTTTTTGCAAAAATTGCAGTGGTTGTGGGCGAGAAGTACAGTGTTTTGTAATGTGTTTCCAGCGGTGTATGAATGGGGTTGCCGAACCACTCTTTCAGTCCCTTCCCTCCATCAGCTCGATGGTCTCGCAGGTTCTCGTTGATAGGTAAAGGATGGAGCTGTTCTAGAGGGCTGAGAAGCTGGATGTTGGCGTCGATGGTCACGATCGAGCTGCTTTGCGCGACGAAAGAGGGGAGTGAGATTGCGGTGTTAAGCGCTTGCAGGAAGAAACTGTGGAAGATTGACCCCGTTGCGCCGTCGCCGAGACTGTGGTGGAAGATGAAGGATGCAGTGAAGCTGAGTTCGCTACCAGCGTCTTGAAGGATGATCAAGCGCCAGAAAGGCAGGTCACCATAATTGGTTTTGAAGTCGGTATTGTGCTGTTCTTCCAGTATGGTGTCGAGCTCGAGATCTGCTTCTCCTTGAGCAGTAGCCCCAGTCCTTCTCCTCCAGAAGACGCACCTAGCAAGATCGATCGACTCCAGCCTCGCAAAGTAAGCCTCCGGAGACGCTTCATCAACAGGAATGGCCGATAGAATAGCATGCTTCCCCACGACATCCGCCAAAGCTGCATAAACTACGCGTTGGAGATCGGGCGATTCGGTACTATTGGATAAGTTGTATTGGGCAGACATGCCGACATTCTTGAAGAAGCCAAGTGCGTGGGATACCGCTGAGAGCTGTTCGGATTTGCCTGTGGGGTATTCAGATGGTCTGAAGGGTATGGATTACGAATTGGAGTTCGAATACCTAATGGTCGCAGCATGGGAAGCTGTTGCGCCTTAAGCTTCTGGTCCGGTCTGGTGCGCGTCATTTTGGGAATAATCGTTGCGGTAGTAAGCTGGAAAATGTGGGTTCAAGGGCGAAGGATGTGAACAATGGGGCTCTTAAGACCTTCTAACCCGAGTTTATGTTAACCTGATAGCCCGGGTAGCGTACGCAAGCGATTGAGGTTGCCGGATCGGATGCAACGAATAACGCGGCATGGCCGAGCGATACCAAGCCAACCGGCCGCTGTAGGAACTCCGTACATGGTTAGAGTCCAGCCATGGTGTTCTTGGCTATATGAGCAGTTTGTCAGCCGCTATCGATCCATCGCTTGTCACTGTGGCTCGTGTCAGGTTGGTGGCTGACAACCTTACAAGCTTAGCCTATGTCCGACGGTAAGCCGGGTAAGGCCTCAGCTCCCATGTCGCTGTGTATCCCAACAAGATAATAGGACATTGGCGGAAGCGCTGACCGCAAATCAAAGTGAATTCAGTGTAGGATTCGTGACAACGAGAATGCTATTAGAGATACAGCTTCGAGAAGGAGAAGTTGGATGTAGACGGTCCGCGGCGGGGTGCTAGTAATGAGGGGCATCATGGATCAGCCTTTGAGCGTAAGGAGAGGTGTCTATGTGAGGTAAGCATGGTAGTGAAAGCCAGCTCATCGATTGATCATAAGAGAGTTGCGTTCGAGCGCATGGCATACGTCGCTTGCTTCGTGATACAGGTTACCTCCTGCCACGCGCAAGCTGACAGCGCCCGCCGCATCAATTGATGGCAGATCGCGCTTTGCTGGTTAAGGGCTAGCGTCACAATCCCTGCTTCCACAATGGAGGATATGAGTTGCTGTGTTCGGGACCAAGATGGTGGATTTGATGGGCCATCAGGAACACCTCTCTTGTACCGCATATCGACTTTCACAAAGATCCTGTAATACATCTCCGTATGAAATGTGTGTGATTCATTCCCCACATGTCGTGTTGCAGTTCATGAAGCGTCTCTCGACAGCCCTTCTAGTCAAGACTCTACAACCTCCTACAAATATCCTCAACAATCTCCTCCGTCCCCGCCTTCCCCCCCATATCAGGACTCAACAACCTGCCCTCCTCCAAATTCCCATCCACAGCCTCATAAATCCTCGCCGCCGCCTCCTCCTCACCGATAAACTCCAACATGAGCGCCGTGCTCCTAATCGTCGCAATCGGGTTCGCAATACCCTGGCCCTCGATATCAGGCGCAGAACCATGGCACGGCTCACCGATAACAAAGTCTTTACCCACGTTGGCGGAGGGAACGAGACCGAGGGAACCGACGAGCGCGGCGGCGCCGTCGGAGAGGATGTCGCCGTAGAGGTTGGGGGCGACGATGACGTCGTAGTCTTGGGGTTGGCGGAAGAGTTTGTAGACCATTGAGTCTACGATTTGTTCTTCCACGTTGACACCGCCGTATTTCCTGTTTTGCAGCGCGCGGCGAGCGGTTTCGCGGAAGAGGCCGTCTGTTTGCGATAGCACATTGCTCTTGTGTGTGATGGTGACGAGTGGGGAGGAGTGGATAGACGTAGCGCCGGCGTCGCGGACGCGTTGCCGGCGGAGGGCGATGTCGCCGGCCATTTCGGAGATGTTGAAAGACGCGGTTTCGGAAATGCGCTTGATTGCTTCGGCGATTTTGGAGCCGTCGGGCGCGGTGTACGTCTTTTCTTCTTTGACGTAAAGATCCTCGGTGTTCTCCCTCACAATCACCAGATCGACATCCCTCGCCGCTCCCCTAACACTCTTAACAGGCCTTACATTAGCGTAAAGCTTCATCTTCTTCCTCAACGCAACAATCGGACTCGAGTAGCCCTTTGTCTGCACGGTGGGCGAGCTGACGGCTCCGAAGAGGGCGCCATCGCAGTCAGACTTGAGGGCTTCGACCGTGGCGTCCGGGAGGGCGGCGCCGGTCTTTTGGAAGGTTTCCCAGCCGGCTTCGTGGTGCGAGAAGGAGAATTTTAGGCCAAAGGACGAGGGCAGCGCTTCGAGGATGCGGCGGCCCGCGGGGATGACTTCGCGGCCGATGCCGTCGCCGGGGATGAGGCCTGGGGTGTGTTAGTCGATTCGCATGGCAATTGATGCTATTGGCGCGTGGCAAATCAATTGATCGTCTTACCTATCCTCAAAGTGCGTGCGGCCATGTTGGGGATGTGATGCGGGTGTGACAGCTTCGCGGTGGAATTTTTGGTGTTGCTGCAGCTTGCGCCGAAGTTCGGAGGTCCGAGCTTTCTTTACCGGCGCGGCGCCCACGTTGTGTCCCCGCGGGGGAGAACGGAGATTGCCATGCATGGACATCATCGTCAAGATTACATTGACTGCTGCATTTGCTGCTCATACCGAGCGCAATTCCACATCATCCCTAGCAATAGTCCCAGCCCAGCCAATTCCTTCCACTACACATTACCCATACCCCCGAAACGCCATACCAATGCCCCCAATCCAATCCAACCCCCCAATCCACCCCATCCCCATCACCATCACCAAACAAACTGCGGATACCAAGACCCGATCCCCTAATCAAGGTCACTATTCTTATCCTCCTCTTTCTTCCCACCGCCGTGTACCTCCTCAAACTTCTCCTTCGGATCTTCCGCGCCCTCTTTCTTAGCTTGCTCAGTCGGCAGTAGTTCTATGACCACAACAAAGAGCTCCTGGTTGGTTTCCCGGTTCTTGAGCACATATCTAAGGGTGTGCGGTCTGATTAGTGAATGCGTCAAGTCAGCTCCGTATCCTCGAACCAAAGAAATTTGTAAGTAGTGGTGGTGGGAGTTGTCGTGATGATAGCAATAGTGGGGGATACAGGAGGTGAAGGAATGTGTACTTACCGCAATGGCTGTCCATCCCAGTGCCCAATCATGCTTATAACGGGCAATCCATACCCGATCTTCAGCGCAAACTCGTTGAAATCGAGATACGGGTTGAAGAAATCGCACTTGTATTCCCTCCCAGCCTCGAACACAAAGTCCTTCCTGTTCTGCTCCGTGAGGAAGAACTTTTGTCGCGCGCTGGCTCTGTCGGGTACGTGTTTGCTCTTTCTGACTTCCACGCCGTCGCCATCTGCGCCCTCTTCGTAGACAACGGCCTCGCCGTCTGAGCCAGGCACTTCCACGTCTCCTTCTGTTTGCGCCTCGCCTTCCAAGTCGCTCTTGGCCGGCTTGTCTGCGTCCTTCTTGCTGCCGATGCGCAGGACGTTTATCGAGGAAAGAAGCGCGCCATACAGATACGGCTGGTCCGCGTACACATCGCCGTCTAGCCCCGGATCAATCCACCACCTGACTACCCCAAACGCCTTGTCGAACAGCGGCGGTAACCGGTCGCGAATCGGGTGGTCGAAGTCGTTTCCGAAAACGAGCTTGTCGCCGGCTATGTCTTGTTTGGGTGTGAAGGAGAAGGATATCGAGTAGCGATCGTAGCAATGTTGGGGTACAGAGAAGTAGGGTGAGGTCTTTGGGGAGCCTTCTGGTAGGCCTGGGCTTTGTTAGTGACTGTGCGCATTGGAGGGGTAGCATGACGAGGGGTCCAGGTGGGAGGCGTACCGCGGTAGTCTTTGATGCGCATGTGTACGCGCGCGTCGATCAAGTCGGAGGATATGTCCACGGGCTTTTCGCTGTTGACTAGGACATCTTCGTGTTTTGACGTGTCGTAGGTTGCGCCCGCCGTGACGTGCAGTATGTACTGCTCGTGCGTCGCCATGTTTGCTTTGGGACGCTCTTGATGTGGGTGAAGGTTGGGTTTAAACAAAGATGCGGGTAAAGATTGGGTTTCCTATGCGAATGAGTAACGCCTGAAGTGATGCGTGGGGTCGTCGTAATGTTCGTCAGTGTTGATCACACGCGCTGTTGCCCACCCCAAAATTTGGTGATGGGCGATGACGTTCCGAGCCCGCGGAAGCAGGGATTGTGACGCTAGCCCTCATACGGGAAAGCGCGATCTGCCATGCGGCGGGCGCTGTCACTCTGGGCGTGGCATCAGGGCGAGAGCGCATTTGGTTCAGGGTATCGATTGACATTTTAGTACATCCTCAACACCGAATTATCCATTGTAATAGTGAGTGGAGCATGAGTTGAACAATCGATACATTGTAATTATGCCACCAACTCCAATACTCACGTCACAACACGAAACACTCCCCCTCACACCCTCGTAAAAGCATCAACATCCACCCTCTGATAAAAGCTCACATGCCCAAACGTCTCCCAATACTGCGCCAGCCGATCATGGCTGATGAGAATAAGCTGGCTTGTCATGTAGTTATCTGTTTTAGTCAGTCTCATATCTCCTCAAACCAACCCTCAATCCAATCATCAAGTTTAGTAAAATCGAACATACCATCTCTAAACCCCGTCGCAGCAATATGTCCCACACTCCTCACAATGCGCGCGCCCTTGAAAATCTCCTCCTTCGCAACGCGGATCAAGCCATTGGGGCCGATATCCGGTGCTATGAACGTGTATTCGCCGCGAGGAATGTTTGGGTCGCCGGTGAGTTTGACGGCTTCGATGCGGCCGCGGTACACACTCTCATCCTCGTCCGCCTTATTCTTACTGTTGTCGGATGTGTCCGTCGATCCGGACATGTACTGGTGATACGACTCTTGTAAAGTAGCAACGCTATCCTCAAGATCATCTGCGTTCTCCATCCCAACACCAATTTCAACACCACCATCAACAGATTCCTCCTCGGAAGCAGAAGAAGAAGCCGCATCCGTCGGCGCCGTCGTCCAACTCCCCCCACTACTCACACTCTCCTCGCGCTCCCTCGCCCGCATAGCCCACAGCGCACGTTCAGGAAGCGGCTTCGCGTCCCGCTCATCCGGCTGCATGATGGCCAGGAACTCGCAGCCGTGACCTGCGTAATCGCCGCACCAGATCCCTTGCCATGGCTTCTGGGGCGTGGGCGTGTAGCTTTCTTCTGGTAACGTCGCCCATGTCGTCACGTCCTCGCCGATGCGCATGCCCATGCCGAGGACGCGCGTGGAAAATTCCATCCAGCGCCGGATCCGGAATGTGGAGTCAGAGAGCTGGGAGAGGGTCGCGGGTTTTTGGCCGGGTTGGCGGTACCCAGATGGGGAGTGGTCGTTGCGCGTGCGGTCTGCGCTGGGAAGGGTGAGGGGCGGCCAGACGGGCGTGGCGTCTGTTGTTATGGCTGGTGGCCATGGGCGGGTGAGCATGAGTTGGGAGAAGAGGGACGCGGCTTGTTGTTGGCGGTCGCGGTAGAGGGACATGCGGATTTCTTTCTGGAGGCGGTATCCTATATTCCCGACGGCTTCTTCATACGCTTCGCGGTTGAGACGCACGATGGGGGCGTTGAGGTCGAGGCGCACGTTGGGGCTGAAGGTGTGGATTATGGCTTCGGGGTGCTGGTCCCAGGATAGAGCTACGGGCGAGCGTCGTTCGGCGACGAGGGCGTAGGCTTCGATTGCGTTGAGTCGGTGGTCGTAGCGCGCGATGAGCAGTTTGCCTGTGTGCGCTGTGTCGGCGAACCAGATCTTGCGCCGCGCGATGAACCAGTATGGGTGGTGTTCTTGGTATAGTTCTCGCCATGTGAGGCGCGCTGGTTTCGTGACGTTGGGCACCTCTGCTTCTACGAAGGCTTGCCAGAGCGTGTCTTGAAAAGTGTGGGTGCGCAGGACTTTGTTAGCCATGCCCACGGTGAGGAGGCCTGATAGGGTGAGGTAGCTGAGCACATGATGGAGTAGTTCTGAAGGGAGGTTCAGCAGCGGCGGGATGGGCGTTTGCGGTGCCGGGCTTTCTGTTTCGCGAATCCGTAGCTCCATGGTATCGATTGATGTTGTCGCGTGTTCGATGTCGTATGCAGCCTCTTATTAGGAATCGATCGACCGTTGAAGTACCTCAGCCAGAGTGGCGAAAAGCTTAAGTAGCAACCGCGTCCGTCCCTCTTACCTCTCTTATGCAACCCGCACCGAAAAGAGGAGTAGTGAATCGTCGCCCCAAGACTTAATATAACGCCTCAGTCGTCGGTCCTGCAGGGCGCTCTTCCACCCGATGCTACCGTCTCGGCAACGTTCCGTGGTGACACCTTCCCACCTTCGCCTAGCCTTAACAAGTCCGGGGTAGATTGGCGTGATTAAGCAGCGAATACGAGCGCTATGCAAGATCAAAGCACAAACTCGCGTATCTTGGACGCGCTCAGTACCTGCTCTTTTGGGTGTTTGGTGTTTGATGTTGCTTCGTGATGATGACGATGTTGCGATATCGGATGATGCGCTGCAAGGGTGAGGCGGCTCGGGAATATCGCCGGGTGCGACGGCAGAGGGTGAGGAGGAGGTTGATGTACAGGTTTGCCGCTGACAAAGGGAGAGGAAGTGGTTGAATGCAGGGAGATTGGTGCATGTCGTCGCCACGCAGGCGTGATGGGTGCGTGTCGGTCACGATATCGCAGTACGTCACCGTTCGTCCGTGCGCTGCCGCATAGCTGGCTTTTGTGGGGTACCTTGAACTTGACTTCTGCCACCACATTTTGAGGCAGACATTGCATTTTTAGGGTACGCACGTCGCGACATCATGTAGCCAGGAGGTATCCAGTGATGATGGGGTGAGTATCTGCGCTGACATAGAGTGACTTCACGACGACATATCACCGTGCGCCCGGAGAAGTGAGGATACAAATCACGGTTTGAGGCATACATCATCATCGGGAAACATCATTCATTCAGGCAGATTTCAAGCCAGGCGACGACATCACCCACTACATATTCCACCCACCAACCCCCCAAAACCCCCCAACCGCCTACAAGTCCTTGAACTTGCCCTTCCAGGCCGCCTTCTGCGGCGACCTCTTCACCACGCCCACCGGCCCCTTCCCCATCTCCCCCTCCCTCCTCTTCTGCTCGAAAGCCGCCTGTCTCCTCCTCTCCCTCTCCTCCTTCTTCTCCGCCAACCCGCCCACAGTCTTCTTCATGGCCGAAGCCCGATCTGCTTTGCGCAGCAAAGTCTCTTCAGCCGCCTTGTTCTTCTTCAGCTCTTCCTCGAGGAACTGGCGGCGGCGGCGGAGCTCCACGAGTTGCTCTTGGATGCCGTCGGCGGAGTCCTGGTGGGCGGCCTTGGCGGCGGCGGCGACGACGTTGGTCTTGGTGGTGGCGGCGGCGGCACGACGGCTCCTGACCTCGTCGAGGAGGCGGGCGTCGGCGGCTTCCTTGGCTCCGGCTCCGTACATGCGGATGGGGGGCGAGGCGTACATGATCGCGATTTGGCTTGGTCGCGGATGTAGTGTGGGTGTGTGGTGGTGGTGAAGTGGTAGTATGGTATGACTTGTTTTGGATTCTAGTCTTGAATGTAGTGGTGTAGTGGTATGGTAGTGCTTGAAAAGTAATTGTGGATGTGAGATGGATAGAGAGAGCTGGAGAACAGAAGAGTTGGAGACGAAAGGACTTCTTATATAGTAAGGACTTCTTGGCTGGGACGACGTCTATTCTGCCGGCATTACAATAGCAAGGACTGCAAAAGTGAAGGTGAGCATGCAAATTTTCGCTGACGGCTGGTTTCTATAGGGCACAATAGCAGGCGAACCGTGGGAAAAGATGAGGCTGGGCGAGGTGAAAGAGCGTGTGGACCAATGACACCTTTCTGAATCGACTTGGAAGTGAGCGCGACTCTGGCTGCGGGCTTTCTACTGGCTGCGGAAGTCAAAACATTGACCGCTCTACCGGTCTGCGCCACCGCAGGACGTTTCAGATACCTTGTTTGCTATTGTCTACCCAACAGCGTCGTTCTGGCCCTGACGTATGCGCGCTGCGAACCTTAGGAACAGCCAAGTCAAACATCACATGCTGGAACAAGAACCCTGGTCGAAGACAAACGCGACCATGGCATTCGCGCAACGTTTTCATCTATCATAGTAATGTGCGCCCACAGTCACCAAGCGAGAGACACGCGACTATTCAGCCCTGACAGCAACGTCATCACCTCGATACATCCGCACTCAACGCGCACCCGCCTTCTTCTCTTCCCGCCAAGCCCTAGTCGCCTGCACCCACTCCTCCGGATCCCCCGGCATCCCCAAATCCCCATCAAAACCCTCCATCTGCTCCAAAGTGAAGTCCGTCGTAGGCCGTAGCATCCACTCAGGAAGCGGACCCTGAGTCACAAAGTCCTCGACGTCTTCTATGAACCAGGCTTCGGGGTAGCTTAGGTCGGCTAGTGTGTCTTCTTCTGGCTCAGGCTCAGGCTCCTCTTGTGGCTGTGAGGGTGAGGGTGAGGGTTCTTCTTCAAAGGCGCGACGTGTCATCCCGATGAGGTCCATTTTGCCAAAGTTGGGCGGCAGGTCGGGCATGATTTCTGGGCGCCATTCGTTACTGTCGGGGTTGTTGGGGTCGGAGGAGAAGAGGTAGTCGTTTGGGTTGCCGAAGTCGATGGGGTGGCTGTGAGAGGCGGGGATGGGGGTGTCGGAGAAGAGGTAGTCGAACTCGTGACCTTCGTTGTCGTTTGAGACCGTGAGAGCCGCAATCTCGTCGGTAGTTTCAGCTTGGTCTTGAGAAGCGTTCTTCGAGTTGGCACGCGCAGTCACCTCTGCTTCCTTCCGCGCAGCTGCCTCGACTTCCTTCCGCGCAGCTGCCTCGGCCTCTTTCTTTGCAGCTTCCTCAGCTTCCAACTGCAATGCCGACGCCAGTCTACGAATACAGCCATTCATACTTGTGGTCACATCATCCCTAGTGATCTTCACTCTACCAAGCACAATAGGCTTTTGGTCCTTGATCTGCTGTTGCAGCATGCGCATTGCTACCGGTCGGTAGTCGACAGCAGGCTCTGCCTTCGCGGGTGACGTAGCCGCAAGCGTGGAAGACTTGTCCGGCGAGAGTGTGTGAGTGCTGGAGGACATTTTCGGTGTATTGGTGGGAGCGGAAGTACGCTTTGGCTCTGGAGTAAGGCTTGTCGTCATCTGGGTCGACGCTGGATGTGTATTTGCCGCATGGTTTGTCGCTGCGCCTGATGGTGGCAGCTGGACTTCAGCTTGCTGTTGCTGTGGACGCTGCTCTCGATCTCGAGAGAAGGACTGAGGCGTGACCTGGATGTTGCTAGGATAGTCCGATCGTGAAGCTGCGACTGGCGACAGTGTCTTGTCCGGTATTGGCACATACTGCGGCGCATATGGAGCCACCACAGGTACCGCCCCAGATGAAACCACTGCATGTAGCTGTGACCTAGGTTGAGGGAAGGTGCCGGCGGTAGCCCGCTGTCGAGGCGATCCATTCGAATACGGACTGGCGTAAGCAAAGGCAGGGCTGCCAGATCCGTGCTTTGCTGCTGAATTAGGACTTCTAGATGTCGCCGAGGTGGCGAAAGATTGGATCGGCGAATTGGTGAAGGTAGGTTGCGCTTGAGATTGCGGGTAAGACACAAGATGAGCAGGTGAACTCGCTATGCTGCCCGTGTTGACTGGATGTTGAACTGGCCGCTGCTGTGGGGACTGATGCTGGAACTGCCGCGATACCGCGTGTGCATGCGTAGCCTGTTGCAACGGGGACATCTGCTGAGCCGGTGATGCAGATGGAACGAATGGCTGTGGCGCATATCCCTGTGGACTTGCCTGACGGGCAGCCTCGACCGGAGTCCTCAGAGCAGGCGCCGCGACAGGACGAGGAGATGCCGTCCCAAGTCCTTGCCCCCCTTTAGTCCTTCCTTGCAAACCCCCCAACAGCCCCAACACCCCATCCCACCTCCCCACCTCCCCCCCATAACTCTCCTTACTCTTCTTATTCCAATCCCCCCACGTCTTATGCGCAACATGCAACTCCCCCTTGAGCACCATCTCCTCAACCCTCGTCTTCCACGCCCGGATCTGCTTGCCAATAGCATGTTTCTTGTTCTTCTCCGTGAGCCCTTCTCGACAACACTTGTGGTGGCTACCCTCAGCGTGTAGACACTTGTACATGCCATCCGACCTCTTTGTACAGGCCGCGAGTGAGTCTTCGGTGGGATATTCGGGGACGGCGGCTTTGTCTAAGGGGTGTATGCGACGGTCGGGTTTTGTGTCGCCCCATTGCCGTCTAATGTTCAGGATCTCTGCGGACGAATCCATTCCGAGGGTTTGTGTGATGGGGGCGGGAGTAGGTGGTGATGTTGCTGCGGGCGACTTGCGTCTTACGTCGCGACATCCATTTGTTTCCCACGCGTGAAGTTTCTCGTACCAACGTGCTTTGGGGTGGGTTTGCTGCGCTTTGCACCAGGCTTCGATTGCGGGCTTGTTGTCGTTGTAGCGCTGCTCTTGCGAGGTTGTGATGGAGTCGTTGCGGGCGCGCTTTGCGAGCGCTTCTTGCGATTCATCTTCGGATCTTGGGCGCTTTTGTCCTGGGTGAGCCATGGGTGGCTGGATGGGGTATGCGACGGGTACGCTGGGCGTATACGGGCTCAGGTAATTCGGTGTGCTCATCGAGAACGTGATGTGAGGCGACGACGTCTCGCTACTTGTCGGTGTTCTCGCGATCGGTGGAGGCATCGTGTACGCCTGGGCTCCTCGTGGAGTTGCGATTTGCGTTCAGTGGCTGTGGCGTCGACCTCAAGGTGGGTGGTGTTGCGCGCCTCTCAATGCTTGTCGAGAGCTGTCTGGGTGGAGGTGAAGACTAGTGGTTACGTTATAGAAGCATTGTTCTAACACGCTAGCGATTAAATGGTAAGTGAAAAGTTATATTGAACTGCTCTCTACATTCACTGATGACATCGTGTATTTTGGATTTCAGACCCGTGGTTGAGGATGCGACTACCTTGGTTCAACGAACTTCAAAACTTGGAGATGCGGGTATGCGAGCAGGCTGCAATGGCGTAATTACATGCTATTTATTTATCACTAGGGAATATTGCAGTATACATGCATGTAGAGGTGTGTGGATGAAAGTACCATAATCCCATTGTGGCCGGCAAAGCTACACATCCCTACCCGCAAAGCCACGCGAACAACACCCGTCACTCCCAAACCCCAACTCCACTCCACCTCCAACCCCTCACCAACCTACCCATCCTCCTCATCCCTCTTCCTCGCCCTCTCCTCCCTCTTCTCCCTCCTCCTCCTAGCCGCCTCATCCTTCCTCGCCTGCCTATCCTCCTCCTTCTTCTGCTTGACCATAAGATCTATCCGCTCAAGTTGTTGCTCATCCGTCAGCTTCTCAAACTTAACCTTGACCGCCTTAACCACCTCCTTCCCAGTCTTCCAGTGCGGCCCCAAAACCTCCTCCACAAACGTCCACTCTGGGTACTTGATCGATTTGTCGACGATATCGGCAATGGGCACCATCATGCTTCCGGTGTTGATGTATTTGTGGGAAGCGGGAATGACGAACCAAGTTATGTGTTCATCGTCCGAGTCGACCCATTTCTGCAGTGCGTAAGCAGGCGCCTTGATTTGGTCTGGCTTGATCTCCTGATTTTTCTCGGCCCAGTCGAACTTGTTCATTGCGCCGCCGACGTCGCGGTTCGTCGCGTTGTTGGCGAGCATGGCGGGGGCGACGTGGCGGACGTGCTTGGCTGCGAGCTGGTTGACTTCTTCACGGCGCTCGCGGCCGGTTGGGACGTAGCGAGGTGTGGGGATTGAGCGCTGCTTCCTCATGCTATCGAGGAATTTGTTCGCGTTGTTGGTAGATGGCTTCAATGAAGCGGCGGTGGCGGCGGTGCGGTATCGTCGGGTGGCTTCGGTTTCTTTGCCGTTGTTCTTGTTCTCTGCCTCTTCATCGGCACTTCTGGCCTTCTTGGATAGCGGAGAGTCGTCAGAGTCGTCGGAGGCTTCGTCGTCGGTGGTAGCAGAATCGCGTTTGCGCTTCTGAGGAACAGCGACATGGGTGTCGTCGGGAGAGGAGATAGGTGAAGATTTAGGCTGCGAATCTGGGTCAGAAGTGCTGATGGGGGCAAGCGCAGATGGACTCACGATAGGCGGTAAGCTGAGGCCCCAGGTAGTCTCGTCCTCGAAAAGGTCGTCAAGGTCCTCGTCATTGCTGCTGTCAGAGGCGTTGGAATACCGGCGGTGAGGCGTCATTGGCGCGACTTCGTCCAGCGAAGTTAGGCGCGAACGCGGAGCATCCACATTGACAGAGGCGGTAGGTACGATAGGGGTCGATGACGACATGTCTGAAAACTGCGGTGTAGATACGCTGCAAGTGTATTGAATAATGAGGTGCAAACGTGGTGCGTGTAGATATCGTGATATCGTAGGCTTAATTAAGGGGATGGGAGTTGAGGAGACAGCGGTGATGACAAGCAGATGATATATGTCTGGACCTGGCCCAAGTTCTATTGGGAGGAAAATACTGCTATTGTCGCAAAGGTCCTTATTGTACCGGCGTGCGCAAGTGAATGCGGCGGGCCGAGCTGTTCAGGAACAATAGCATTGGATGACGCAATAGCTGTGCAGTGATAGTATCATAGCAAGAGTGAAAGGAGGTCTTCGATGCAAGCACCGCCGCATCACAGCGCAACATAACGAGGACGAAAAGGAAATACATGTGAGTATGATGAGATGTGTGTTGATATATTGTAGTCTCTACCTGCCCGAGCGCCGTGTGAGGTGACGCCCCCTCTTCCAATAATAAAGACTTCAGATCGAAGTGACGTTTGCTACCAAACCATTCCTTTCCAATTGCGCTCTCCGATCAATAGTAAAATAACGCCGTCCTGCCTACTATGACGTATCCAATTGCGCCATGTACTGCCGCCTCACTCCGTGACTCGCTGTTGGCGTGGAAAATTGTCACAAGGTATGAGTTCGGCAACGACGAATGGACTGTGCGGACGACAGCGACGTTGGAGATTTCTCTCGCTATGGTGAACTCGCTGGATATGACGCCACGCATCTGCTCCAGCTGCGTCGACTGCTCCGGGCTTGTGTGACCCCCTTGGTTTCGTGCGTCCGGCAACGACGGTTGGTATACTGGCGATATGGGCCATTCCCCTAGGGATGCATCGGAGTATATCGGGACCGTTGGGGAATACAATGGCGTTGACTGAGCGTATAGTGGCCATGTGGGAGGGAATCGCGGAGAGGGAGGAGAGTATCCTGGTGATGTGGGCGATTCTCCCAGCGATGCGTCGGAGTACATTAGAAACGTTGGAGAGTATGCTGGCGATGCGCTTCCAAAGTCTGCGAAAGTCGGGACTTGCAGCGACAAATTCGGATGGACGTCCATGTCCAATGACGTCGCAATCTCCTCGTCGTCTTCATCAGAAAAGTGTGTCGGTTCTTCATCAAACTCATCGAGACCCTCGACCGAAACTCCCATGGACGCGAACCAGAGGCGCTCAGCTTCTCTCGCTGCAGCGTACGGGCCCAGTTCTGATAGCCGGCTCTCAGCGTCTTGGATTGCTTGCGCTTCTTGCATGGCCTGGATCTCATGGGTCGTCATTGGCGTGTACTGGTACATCGACTCCCGACACGAAGGGCATTTGTCGCGGGGCGAGCCCCAGGTCTCCGTCCACTGCATGATGCATTTGCGGTGGAAGACGTGCGAACAGCTCTTGACCGCGACCATGTCATATGATGCGTCGTTGAAGTCTTCTTGGCAGACGACGCAGATACCGATGTCTGCAAACTTGGGTGTGCCTGGGAGAATGCGACATGGCGCCAGATGGTCGCGATAGAACTCGGTGCGGGTGGGTAAAGTCATGCTGCGGGTTGGTGGATGTGAGTCTTTTGGTATTGAGTGTGGTTGTAGGTAGTGAAGAGGAAGCAAGTTGGTGGACTGGGTCAGGGTCCGCTTGCGGAGAAACCAGGGTTGCCAGATCGGGTGACGCTCGCCTTCACCGCAAGACGTAGTCGTGGTGTGTGGGGTTGACAATGCTTCAGCCATGGATAATAAGCGTATCCTTATTCATTGTCTTTGCCGCCAGTAAGCAGGATGTTGTTGGCGAGGCATCCGTCTCTCAGGCCGCTGGTTGGCCTAGTGTTTGGTCGCGAACCATGGATACACACCAGATTTTCTCGCTCAGATCCCACAGAGTTTCTGCGGGATTCCGTATAAAACGGGCGTTCAGCACACACTTCTTTCGAGATCGAAACATCTCCTGCTGAAACCACAGTCCAATTCGCCATTCAAGTCGCCATTCACACCGCCATCCAAGCCTCACTCGCAACGTCACAGGTATCCACCATGACCATCCCAACTCTCTACAAATTTTACACCACCACCCTCACTGCCTCCACACCCAACAATATTGACGATGAGTGCCCCATCTGCGCCATCTCATATCGTCATGCTTTGAGCGACGTGGCGCCAGACGTCGTCGCGACCCCCTGTGGCCACAATTTCCACCGCGACTGTCTCGACCATTGGCTGAGGGACGGTCCAAGTGACGAAGCTACATGCCCCAACTGCCGCATGGCTCTTTGCCAACGCCCTAGACCGAAAAGAGATTTCGCTCTACAGTGTCTTGATCCTGCTCTCTCAGACAACTGGGCAGAAGAGAAATGGGAAGCGATATATCTCATGGAACATTTGTTAAAGACTACTGGCTTGACGGACACGCTTTACGAAATCGTCGAAAAGCTGTTCGTGATACTTCGCAAGTTACGAGAAGATGCGACTGGAAGGTTGTCAACAGGTCTTGCATGGGCAGACGTTTTCCAGCAAGCGTTTCCTTGCTACAAAGACTCACTACGTACGGCCGCGCAATCCTCCGATATGAGCCAAAGGGGAACGTCGCTCGAGGAAGAAAAATTGTTGTATCCTGGCGGGCCAGGAGAATACGTTGCAGTGCGTACGATCTTGAGGGCAATCGTGAAATCCAACAGGGAGAGAGGATGGGTCGATTCTGCTGTATTGGTTGTACTTGACCGGTTTCGAGACTGGGAAGAGGAAGAGACGATGAGTATCGTCGAGGCTTATCGAGGGCTTGGATTCTTCGCGTTGGCAGACGAAGCAGAAGAGGAGGCAGAATGCGTCATATAGGATAACTTCTGGCATGATTTATCCAGCATGATGCGGACAATGAGTTCTGGTCAAGGTCGGAGCCTTACGCGATCTGTTTGGGGCCGTTGGGAACGTCGGCGGTTGACGTTGCGCTCCCAAAGTCAGCGAATCAATCCTGTACATAACTATATTATATCATGTCGACGGGTCAACTTCGCGCTGTGATGTTGAAGGCAATCGTGTGCTGAAACCTCTGTGGACATTGTCTGAGCAAGACTTGAGACACATGTCTCACGAATGGAACGTGACTTTTTTCACGAAGACATGGCCAAGCTAGTCGCGGGCTACAAGACGGCTTGTAAAGTAGCGCAGAAGACCGCTTCGACCGCATCTCAAGCATCATGGGTGACAGCCGGTCAAGAGTAACAAGCTGGCTAGGAGTACGAAGCTTATCGAACGTATCGAGCTTGTCGACGCGATCGAGCTCGACCTCAAGCATTGTGGGCGATAGCCGTTCGCGGGTAGCAAGCTGGATGAAGGTACGAAGCTTATCGGACGTATCGAGCTTATCGAGCCTGCCGACGCAATCAACCTCATCCACAATCACGTCCATCGCCGCGGTCCCTCACGAGAACACACCCTTCAGCCATTTGACCATCCTTCGGGGTATACACAGCACCTTGATCGAAAAGTCCTATCCGCAAAAACCAGATATCAGTCCCTCGGTTCTCGGAAGCCTCAGCGAGAGGATAGTCGAACGTGTCCAACAGGAGATCGCCACGATCGTGTCGACTGACGGTTTCGGTCCCGGAACAGACTGGGATCGGCGCGTTCTTAGGCCGATAATCGCGACGTTCGAGATCAAAGAGAACCTCGGACTGTGTCAGGGGGATGCAGAGTACGTGTTCCTGCTGGTTGCTGTGCTGTCATTAGCGTACGAACTCTTGCTCTTAGCAGATAAGAGCAAGGCAAGTAAAACGCATGCATTCCTTGAACAAGTGTTCGACGAGTGTTTCGTAGAGCCAGAGATCTGCCGGACAATCGGACTTATACTCGACGCTGAACGGGAGCGACTGGCTCGAATGAAGGCCGAGATCAAGACAACGAAGGCGATCCAGGATATGCGGATGCTGCTGCCCGAGATCAACATGTGCATAACGGCGTGGGATTTGAACATGCTCCGCAGGCTGCGAATCAGCGATGTTTCGAGTTACGTTCGACGACATGTGCGCATGTACGATGTGCCGGAGCCAGAAGTACGCATCTCTAGATGGAGCGACGAAGCGGCCACCACGTTCTTCAAAGAAGCTGGCACATTCGCACCAGTGCGATATGCTGCCGAGGCCGCTCCCGATGTGCAGGTGAAGGTCTTCCTGGAGCGCGGCTGTTCATTGCCAATCTACTTCGTAACATCCATCGCCTTCCGTGGGGATCGCGCGATAATACACACGTCGGAGGGTCTGAGTATGGAGCTCGAGGAAGGCTGTTCGATCTCTTCAATTACTGGGGTCTGCGACCGGATGCGCCTTACGAAATGGGAGGGTTCCAAAGATGGCTTCATTGGTACGATGTCCATTCCTCCGGGTTGCTCGTATCGTACGGCCAACGTGACCGGCGTAGCCGAGGGAATAAGCAATACGCTCCTGACGGTTATTGATACAGCGACTGCTACGTTCGAAGTGGATGGAGACAACTATCGTATCAGGCCTGTGAACTTCGGTAGTAGTATCGTGGTGGAACATCGCTGTCAGTAAGGGGCGCTGCTCGCAAGCGCGATAAGACACTTCTCACGTTCATGCCCGAGCGTTCGGTGTGGAGAAGGAGAGGAAAATGGGATATCGCGTATACAATGAGCCTGACTCGTAGACTATATCCATTGTTGATGACGCTGTCGTGCAATGTGGTGATGCTTGTGTGGCGTTGAAGGAAGCCGCATGCGCCATCGGCAGCTCGGCGGATTGAAGATGACTAAGATGCACTAAGCCAAACATGGCGATGACGCACCACCTGGGCACAGAACTTCGCGATTGCGCACCATCAAGCGCAAGTCGCGTTACGGTATCAGATCACTCTGGAAAGCCACTCGGATGCTTACTAGTCGCAACCTGTGATACCTTACCTCTGCGATACCAAGCTTCTTTCGCGATGCGGCGCACCCGGCAATCCCAACAAGCTTCTTCTTCCGGTTCTCAGACACCCAGAGTTCAGCATAGAATATACATTGCACGCGATACGCTGGAGTGCGGTCGCACATTCAGAGCTATGACTACCTGCCCCGTTGGGAACGGCTATACACCATAATCGAAGTTACTATCGGTCATTCTAGGTGTATGTGGCTGGTGCGCTGAGATCCGTACTCTGGTTCACACTCTTGTGTCCCACACCTCCCACTTTGTTTATGCTAACTACGGAACATCGCTGGATGTCAAGATCTACTTGGCGAAGCAAGTAGCCAATGTAGAGCCTGATGCAACTCAGCTGGCAAATTTGGTATATGTGACAACCATGGTTGAGAGATTCGCCGCTTTTCGAGGCGAAAATCTCATCACCGCACTGCCGGCGGATTTCGTATATAACATGCCGGATATCGTGCACACTTTAACTCTTCTGAAGATACAGTATCACCACTAGTACAACGACAGCTACCACTACTACAATTTCAACTACAGCTTCAACTACAACAACTTCAACTACTACTACCACTACAACAGTAAGTACTACTACTATCACAAATCCTTTTTACAGAGACGCTAACTATAAAGATGTTGGTCAAGATCCTCATCGCCAGAATCTTGTTCTGCCTCGTAACCTTCGCCACCGGCGCTCCCGTTAACGTCGATCCCCGGAAACCACCACCAACGCAGGGCCCCGGCGGATATGTCTCAGCGCCTGCATATGTATCGGACAGCTGTGGCCTTGTCACCCCCACCGCCGAGACCTGGAGGCAGAACCTACCAAACATCAAGGTATTTGCCGCCGCGTACTGGAGCGGCTATCTGAACGACCCAGGCTACAACTCATTCCCGCACTATCTTCGCGACAAGCTTGCTCCCAATGTAGCGCCAAGTGCCTCCTATTGCGACACCGTTGGAGGATGCAGCTTCTCTTGTCAAGCTCTCAAGCCCTCGCTATCGCAACACGATAGGCAGATGGCTTACTTCCTCTTCGAACAGATCGCCGGCGTGGACCACCTGTTGAAGAGCCTTCGCGAAGGCTTAACGGAAGGTGCATTGTATGCGGATGGACAAGTGCCTTCACTTGTGGCGAGATACAGCGCTGCATCACGCATCTCGACGCAAATCCAACAGGAGAAGAACGACCACAGGAGGATGGAGAAGCTCGGCATGACCGCCGTCTCCGCTCTACTGATGATGGCTGGTGGGGCACTAGCTATCCCAGGTTTCATTGGACTCGACAAGACGGCCGCGCCTTCGATGGTTAACATGGCCGCGTCTACCTACATCTCCGTCGTCGGTACAATCAACACCGCTCGAGCTGACCCTGAGAAGCTTCCTGACAATATCGAGGATGTTATACGCTCATCCCTAAACGACTTTCGCCATCACAGTATGATCAGCATTGCACATGAGTCGAAGCAGCTCATGGAAGGGGACAAGAACAACCATGGCCAAGACCTGCTCGGTCTCATGCAGGGTCAAGACTTCTTCAGAAGAGATGGCAATATCCAAGAGGATATCATGAGGATGTCCGAGAAGGTCTTCAAGCATGCTGTGATCAACGCATTGTGGCAATGGGAACGGCCCTATATCGTTGATGCTGACGTCCCTACAGGTGCCTGTGAGGTGGACTTTCGTGGACCGACCGAGAACCGAGTGTGCCTGCCGGAACGTCCGGATCACTCATACTGGATCTACGCTTTGGACATTTCGCAGGAGAACGACCCTGGTAAAAACCACAAAGCGTTGATCCATGGCCCCACAGGATATCGAAACTTCTTCGAAGGACACAACTCCGACGTCTACGGAGCTACCTTGAAAGATGTCGTCCGCTCATCCCTTGTCGTTCACGAGCGCAATCTGTATGACGCTCTACAAACTGCGGACTTCCAGACGGTCCAGTCGGCCCTAGGACAAGCGATGAACGCGGGCAACGGCCAATTCAACCTCATGGGCGCCTACACGTTAGCGATCGCACGCAATCCCCGCGGCGAAGCCATTTCCAGCGTCTGGTCCACGCACGGTCGGAACTACCCTTGCATGGTCGGCGAGTTCGGATGGAACGACAATACATACAACCATTACCAGGACCAGACCTTCAACTTCCTGGTTCGAAGTGGTCTCATGTTCTCGGAAGATTGGGAGAACCTTTGCCACAATGAAGGCCATTGCAAAGGCGACAATGACGTAGATTGGCATTCCCGACTCGATGCTCTTCGCAAACCGGGTGATCCGCCGATTCCTGGCAGCTTGAAGCACCCGTTCAAGAAGTGCAAGCAGAAGACTAAGCATGATTACGGTGACCCTTCCTCCGACTTCAATCCTCCTCGTGCGAGGGATTTGAGTGCTGAGTTCGCGAATGCGACGATGTCATGGGCCTAGTCTGTCGCGCAACTGGTCGTGTGTTTTGCGCCTCATTCAATAGAAAAGGTGAACATCCTGGAGCCTACGTTAACATTAGGTTGCCTCCTTCGCCAATTTATATCTTAATGTAGGCTGCAGCGCAGTTTGGCTTATGACGTGGTGTAACCGGCGCGGAGAGAGGTGGGTTTATGGGGAGATCAGCTCGGATACATGGAGAAGTCACGAGACTTGTAAGCATTGGTCAGCGATTGGAATGGTTCGATGGACCTGTCGCGTGGAGTATGAACGAGTGTTGTGCCATCCTGTCATCATGTATACACTAACATGACTACAAGCCGACATGTGGCTTGCATGCCATCTGCTTATTGGGCCGGCATACAAAATGTACATGTAGAGCAACTCAATAGTGTCTCGCTACACTTACCTGCATGCCGACATTCACGTGCGGTGATACTGCTCTTCTGCGTGCAACATCATGTAACCAGCTTGCCCACTCGACCTACCTTCGTCCCCATCGCAATGACCGCGATACATGTTTGAGTCCCTGAGGCAGTTTCGTCAAAGATTCCCGAGTCCACAATGACTATGGATGAACACCCCTTGGTTGCATCCAGTATCCACAACGGCGGGTCGCCTGCAAGTAACCGTAGTCTTCACCCGGTATTGGGACGGCAGAGGGTCGTGGGCGAGTATGTGCCTGAGTCCTAGTTCATGTTGTATAACTAGGAACAACCTAGCAAAAACTGTGCGGCAGAAGGCCCGATGCGGCGTCAGGTAAACAATGGCGACAGCCCACACGTGGCGGAAGACGCGGGCTTGACAGCAAGAGGCCAAATGAGGACATGGCATGATTCTGGCGTTGAGCGTAGAAGTCTCGTAGTTGGGCAATGGTTCGGAGGCGCAAATGCTGACTGCGTACGATGCTGCACGCCTTGTTTTCTTGGGGCAGCGCGCCTTCTGGGGGCGGGCTCGGCCAATGACGGTCGAACGGAGCCGCACCCGAATCATGTTCCTGGGGCGGATCGATCCTGCAGATGAAATTGTCGAGATACGTCCCGTTACTGCAGATATACTGTGGGTATTCACTGCGACATCAGCATCTGAAGCCGAAAGAGAATGTTTCAACGCCAGAATCGATGCAGAAAGAGACATATGCCCGGGCATCGAAGTTCAAGCAACGCCAAACCTCGTCTCGAGAGCACGCCGATATGCTCGTGCATTGCGCGCGCTATGGAATTAGGTGCAAGCCACTGCCAGCCTCGTGGCAGCTGTGTCCCGGGAGCGCAAAGGAGGGCGTATCAGCCTCATATCGAGTCAGGGGCCTGGGCGCGAACATCGTCCCATGCGGAGGATATCGCACATGGATCCAGCGGTGTGGCTTTTGGAACCGATGGAGCGAAGGATTCATCGTTCGAGCATGTAGGCGTCATACGTGAACGAGTCGGTACATACCCTAGTGATACCCACGCCGCAGTCATCAAAGAGTGGCACGAGTGGGTAGCAGATGAGTTCTGCAAAATACATCGGCACGCGTAAGCTCCAGTACCCTGGTGTCGGCGCTATATGACCGCACCCAGTGCCGCGAGAACTGCACGTCCGACTTTACGAAGGTTTGTTGAACTGTGAACACTGCACGTCAGCGTGCAACAGCCACACCGCTGTCAACGGGTCCGTGATATCCGTGATGTCGGCGTCCTCGGAGATAATCGTATGTAGCATTTGTCGGGTACCGATGTTCAAGCGGCACAGTCGTTGTGATTCCTTCGCAACATAATTAGATCGAAAAGCCCCCGTAGTTTTGAGTTCGACGATGGAGGATACGGGTGGGGCGGAACAGCAATGGATCGCTGCAGGGTGACAAAGATCCGACGCTAGGCCCCGTGCGGTCGGCGCTAGCGTGGGATGCCTGATCTGACCTGGCCGCACGCACAGGCAGACCTTCCCTCCACAACCACGAACCCTAGGATCACCACCATGTTTCGCGTCGATTGCTGCATTCAACACATGGTTTCAGGGTCTCGAAAGTTTCGACGATTTAAACAGCCCCCCGTTATTGCCGGACAGTACTGGTTGGTGCCTCCCGAAAGCTTCCAACTCGGCCAAGACCTAGCTCCCGTAGCTACAGGTGGCACGACTCGTCCATTGGAGGTCCCTGTGACCTGAGACATGACCGTGTTCTTGTGCAAGGGACTGCCATACTCGTTGTCGTGGCGGCATGTTTGTACTGCCGGCGAGGCGGAAATTGGTGTCCCGTAAGCCAGTGTCCAACCAAGAACCGTCTTTGCTACCGACCGGATGGGCAGAATGGAATTATCTCCGAGGCCATTGGGATGCACTCGAAATGCCTGGGCGGATCCTGATGGAGCGAACCCGTCCAAGTGTTCGTCATTGATGCCCGGATCGTGCGGTTGGCAGAACCTTTTGTCGTGATTTTGGGTTCCACCCTTCACGGAGAGTTCGTGCGCCGCATGCAAGACCCCGCTGATGCGCCACGATTATCGTGCCTTGCGTACGGTCCGTGTACAAGCCGAGCGTCGAAGCCAATGCGACACCAGCGTCGTGACGGTAGCCAGCGCGCCATTGCGCTTCATGACATGGATGGAGCTAACGGCGGCCATGTGCGCAGCCCCACTCTTCACTGAACATAACCCTCGAGACCCTATCCTAGTGGCAAGCTCTCAATCTCGTTTCTTTGACCTGGCCCGTCTATCCGCAGCTCGTCAATCCTCCACGCCCACATGTCGAGCATACTTCCCCGGGCAGGCCCACGATAATCCAGTATGCAGCTGCCTCCGGTGGATGTCCTGTTGGGTTGGCCGACTCCGAATTACATCGACCCGGAAACGCGCGGCCCTGCGCTCCTCATCGTCAACAGCATCCTCATCGCACTAACCATCCTCGTTGTGATTGCGCGTTTATACACTCGTATAGTGATCAAGAGGTGGTTCGGTATTGACGATATCTTCATCCTCTTTGCGCTGCTCTTCACCTGCGGCCTCACTGCTGTCGTTCTCCTGGCAAACCTCCGATATGGATGGGATAGGTAAATAGACCGATTTCCATTCGCATCGCATACAGCTAATCATCAAATGACTATAGACATGTTTGGGATATACCCTTTCACATGTTCGTTCCGGCCTACAAGATCGCCATGACCGCCAAGGTCGTCTTCACAGCGGCCGCGAGCTTCACGAGACTCTCTCTGCATTGCTTCTACTACCGATTGGTCACAGACTCGGGGAAGACGTGAGTACGGCGTTGCTACTGCATCCCAACAGCTTTGCTAATTCGCTTAGATGGTTCAAGTGGGCGGTTCATGTCAACGTTGCCTACACACTCGGCATCTTGATATCGTTTCCCTTCATCGCCATCTTCTTCTGCACACCCATTAAGAACTATTGGACTATCGGCGCACCGGCAGACACTTGCATGGACGAGGGAACTGCGACTCTCATTTGCGGAATTATCAACTGCGTGGCGGACTTTCTTACCACCCTAACACCGATACCTTTGGTCATGGGCGTGAGTTGGCTCAATCCCATACGCAAGGCAAAACACTACTGACTGATCCCAGCTTCACATGCGTCTGCGTGAGCGCATGGCTGTCGCTGCGCTATTCGGTATGGGGCTAATTGTCTCTGCTGCTGGTATTGTGCGTACCTGGTTCATCTATCGGAGTCTCTTTAACAACGAGTACGATCAAACCTGGTACGCATATCCACTGTGGATCGCGGCCGCTGTAGAGATAGACTTGGGTGTAGTAAGTTATTACGTACGACTGCTAATCAGTGACACAATGCTTACTTGCCACAGATATGCGCCTCGGCTCCAGTACTAAAACCTCTCCTCGCGAAGATCCCCTTCAGTCTATCGCAATCCTTCTCAGGTGGCATATCCTTCAAGAAGAGCGCGCACTCCTCAAAGACGCTAACCGCCAATGCATCAGCGTCGCATTCCTCCACGAACCGGAAATCCACAGCACCGCGCAATGCGCCAGAACTCGCAAACGACAAGGGAAACAGCTATGAAATGAAGCACTGGGCGGATACAGAACAGGATCTGGAACGAGGAAGCCAGGAAGCTATTCTGGAAGAGGAGGAGGCTCCCAAAACGGGCATGTCGCGCCTGTGGGGCAAGGTTCGCCCGAAAAGCAACAATGGAAATATGACTACGGACACCGATATGACAATCACTTTGACCAGCGAAGTGGAACTGCAAGTCGAGCGGATGAAGCAACGTCCGGCGCGGTACGAGACACATGGTGACCTCCACGAGAACCACATGCCATTACCACCGTTGGCACCGCGATCCAGCGGACACGACCGGTGACGCCACGACCCGACTTGCGCGATCAATACGGATAGCGACAACGTCCTCGAACCGACATCAAAGATCTCACGTCGCGCATCGTGTACGCGCAAGCGGGAAACATAAAGTTACGACTGGCATACTGGGGGCGCTTACATCTTGGTGGACTTTTCTGCATCGCTTTAGCATATGATACCACGTTCGACGACTCTATCAAGGGTACAAAAATAGACATCTCAGAATACAGACGGCCAGGACGCCGAATACATCAATAATCTCAGTGCGACGCGCCGCTTCGTCCACATGCTTGACGCGTGCATCCGTGTAGTGAGCGGCCCGCATTGGACGTCAATGACAGAAGGCTAACATGTCAGCAGTATGACAGCTCTTAGCTTCACGCACAGGAATTTCAACGATCCAGCTCAACACTTTCGCACGCTCGATTCGTGAGAGAAGGCGTTCTGCGCCATCTCCATCCTGTCCACGGTACCCTTGGATCGCAGCCCTTGAGCTCACCCGGCGAACATCGGCCAGACTATTGATGCAACTCCAACCACCCAACTGCGAAAGCGCCGACCATAAGCATGCCGTAAGCGGTGAATCTGGCCCTGCAAACCTTCGCCGCGATACTATTGACACCAACGAGCTTCAAACTGCATTAACTACCTCACTTCGCGTTTCAAAACAACCATCCAAGGTTTACACGTCACACGCATATCTGTCGGCACCGTCACACAAGGACGATCAAATCTAGAACGCCATCGGATGCGGATGCCGAGGCCAACTCAACACACTCTGGGCTGTGGAGCGTTCAGAACTGTAAAAGATTCACACTGCTTGGAATGGAAAGTTACGGATACGTTCTCACGTGTATGCGGCGTAACGGCGTGGACTCCGACGGCTCTTGGAAACGCTAGCCCAGGTCTTGTCATCCGACTGATGTTCCTCGGCAAAGCTTATTTCTTCCGGCACTACAGCCTTAGACCTTGTCCAAGGGTGGGTGGGGGAGGCGGCGGGGAGGCGGAGGGGCAGAGGAGGGGAGGATGGGGGATTCCGTGGTGTCAAAAAAAGAAAGCAGAGAAGATAAATCGTGATGTGTTGATAGGAGGTGGTAAGCGCCTCGTTGGATGGGTGGTCCTCGGCAAAGCTTATATCTTCCGGAGCTACAGCCTTATACCCTGGTCTCCCCCGCAATCTCTACAGCCAAAATACGGGGAGGGCAGGCGCCAGAGAACCTGGAGCTGCTTCCTCGTGACGTCCTTAGGCTGATAAAAGTACAGGCCTTGTCGCTGTTGGAGGAGAAATTGCACTCCGTGCATTCCCAACTGCCTTTCTCATCTAGTCCACGGACGCAGACATGAACTATGTATATTGACGAAGTAAGAACGAGGCTGCAGAGACATTTGTTTAAATGTGGGCGATGTACCAGTTCTCTGGTTGATCCAGACGATCGCCCGGTTCTTCTCTCGCGGTAATAAGAGCAACAGCCAGTCATGCCTTCACCATCCAAGATCGCCGCGCTTGGCCTTGTGGCTACGGGCTCTTTTGTAGCCGCTGGACCTTGCGACATCTACGCCTCGGGTAATACGCCTTGCATCGCCGCTCACAGTACCACTCGCGCGCTTTACAATTCCTTCAGCGGTTCTCTTTACCAGGTGAAGCGCGGATCCGATGGCGCTACGACTAACGTCGCACCTCTATCTGCCGGTGGTGTAGCCAATGCCGCGACTCAAGACAAGTTCTGTGCCAACACCACATGTCTCATTACCATCATCTACGATCAATCTGGTCGTGGTAACCACCTCACTCAAGCTCCTCCAGGAGGCTTTAACGGCCCGGAAGCTAATGGCTACGACAACCTGGCTGGGGCTATCGGCGCACCAGTTACGTTGAACGGGAAGAAGGCATATGGTGTCTTTGTCTCACCGGGTACCGGATACCGCAACAACAAGGTCAGCGGCTCAGCGACTGGCGATGCAGCAGAGGGCATGTACGCCGTCCTCGACGGAACACATTACAACAACGCATGCTGTTTCGACTACGGCAACGCCGAGACGAACAATCTCGACACCGGTAAGCATACTCTCACATCGTCTTATCAACGGCATATATCTAACAGAAAGCACAGGCAACGGCCACATGGAAGCTATCTACTTCGGAACAAATACAATTTGGGGCACCGGCGCCGGCTCTGGCCCCTGGCTAATGGCCGACCTGGAAAACGGTCTCTTCTCCGGCATGTCGCCCAAAAACAACCCAGCGGACCCTACTCTCACAGACCGCTTCCTCACCACAGTCTTGAAGGGCGGACCAAACAAGTGGGCTCTCCGCGGCGGCAACGCCGCATCCGGCTCGCTATCAACGTACTACAACGGCGCGCGACCCAGCGCCTCAGGCTACAACCCCATGAGCAAAGAAGGCGCCATCATCCTGGGTATCGGCGGCGATAACAGTAATGGAGCGCAAGGAACCTTTTACGAGGGCGTTATGACGAGTGGGTATCCGAGTGATGCGACGGAGAACGCGGTGCAAGCGAACATCGTCGCGGCGAAATACGCGACTACGAGCTTGACCAGCGGACCCGCTTACACAGTCGGTTCGTCAATCTCTCTCCGCGCTACAACAGCAGGATACACAGACCGCTACCTCGCACATACCGGTTCAACCGTGAACACGCAAGTCGTATCTTCCTCCAGCACCGCACTGCTTAAGCGACAGGCTAGTTGGACTGTACGCGCGGGTCTGGCGAACAGCGCTTGTTTCTCGTTTGAGTCGAAGGATACGGCTGGGAGTTACATTCGCCATTTCAACTTTGTGTTGCAGCTGCAGGCGAACGATGGATCGAAGGCGTTCAAGGAGGATGCGACGTTCTGTCCCCAAGCTGGCTTCACGGGATCAGGCAGCTCGATAAGAGCGTGGGGGTACCCAACCAGGTACATTCGCCATTACAACAATATCGGAGATATTGCTAGTAACGGCGGTGTTCATGATTTCGATGCCGCGGCGAGCTTTAATGCGGATGCGACGTGGAGTGTTGGTACGGGGTTGGCTTAGAGGTTTGGTAACGGGATGGGGGTGGTGTTGGGTTGAGATGTTGTTGGAGTGGGCTGTTCACATAGGGGAATCCCTCACAATGGTTCCTGTGAGGGATTCCCGTACGTAAACAGCCGACTTCTTCAAAGTCTCAAGCCAAGAAGAGCTGGATACTTGGGTATTAAACTCGAAGAAAATATCAATAGGTGGTTGTAACATTCAAAGAACCCCCCTAACGGCTGCATTGTCTGTTAATCGGCTTCTTCGAATGTTACAACCATCTGTGTTGAATAATACAAGGACAACCTTTACAGTGTATACACTAGCCAAACTTCTCTCGTACAGCACGCACCACCTACTGTACATCTACTATTCACTCACGATACTCGTATAGTAGCGTCACAGCGTTCAAAACACCATCATTCTATACGCGTATTTCAATACTTCACTACCACTACAAACAAACCTTCAACACAACAGCGCGCAATCCCGCTACTTCACCAAACAACAGATCTACAATCCTTTCACAACATGTCCCCAGCCACAGGCACAGCACACCTAAAGCGTCCTTATAAAGGTGGTGGCGCTCTAAAGGCTCGAAATCGTGTCAAAGAAGAGCTTGAAAGCGAGAAAAAGCCAATTCACCAAGCACCAGACCCGCAATTCTTCCACAACATGACCACAGCCACAGCACACGCAAAGGTTCCTTATGTGGGTGGTGGCGCTTTCACCGAACGACTTCTGGCCAATAAAGCACTTGAAAGCAAGCGAAAGTTGCGAGTGTTGATGGGCATGTTGCTTGAAGCCATAGTATCGTCAACACAAGAGCTTGAAGCTGATGATGAGGATGAGTGGGAGAATGTCGGCGATGATGATGAGGAAGAGTGGGAGGATGTGGGGGATGACGGAGAATGGGAGGATGTCGACGATGACGAGGAGTTGGAGGATGTCGACGATGAGAATGATTGGGAAGATATCGACGATGAAGAGGATGACGATCTCTCAAACGACAATTCTTCAGATGACTCCTTAGACTTCTCAGACCCCTCACACTCCTCACACCCCTCCTCTAACCCCTCCATATTCCTATCCTCCTTCCTATCCAACAACCCCCCTACCAAAGACTACCCCCCAATCGGCCACCTATCCTTCGCTACCATCGAAGAAGCCCGCACCGCCTACTACTCAACGTTATCCCAGGTAGAAAACCTCCTCGTAAAGTGGTATCACAAGGACGATGTAACAGCACTTGTCAAGACCTTGATCGAATCTGCCCAGGCGTCGTATGCCGAGCAGGAGGAGTTTTGGAAGGATAGGCGCATAGTTCAGGAGTGGTTCGATGGTATAGATGAGTGAACGTATGTTGTGGTAGCTATGGTAGGAGGAGGTGGGAATGAGGTGGTGGATGAAGGAAGTGTCGTGGATGCGGGTATGTATTTACCTGCATGTTCTTGTAGCGCTACATGATTGTTTGCGCAGCGTATGCAGTAGTTACAACCGAGAGTACTGTGCAAATAATTCCTTCCGTAAGGTTCATCTTCCGTGCAGTGCAGTGATGGCGCGGTCTTCGGTGTTATCCATGGATGCAGCCATGTGTGGCCCTGACACTAATCCATTCCCGGACTAGTCCAACGACCTGACGGGCGCAACCAGACATCCGGTTCCAACGCGCGACGCAGAAAGACGATCCAACATATCTCCACTCTGTGACTCTACACACGATGCACCTTAAACCAGTCATACAGTCAACACTCTTCCCCAAAATATCTAGGGAACAAGAACCACAAACCCATTCTACGAGCAGTTCTTCTCAGTGGCGTTCCTTTCAGTGTACGTAGCCTGTCATCGACCCATCCTGATCAGCCATGTGCCATATCTGACAAGCTATCCACGACTATCGCACAACCCCCTCCCCTACTTCCCTAACCACATCCTCCCCTTCTCCAATCTCTCTACTGCTACTCCCCAACTCCCTTCACACCATCCCCCTTAGCCCTGATCTCCACCACCCATCCCACGCCCTTCTCCGGTGTATACACAATCTGCAACGGCCTCTCAACCTCCTCATTCGCAACAAACACACCAGGCACACGGGTGCCAACTCTCCCATCCATATCAACCATATTGTTGACCGGTTCTCTGGAAAAGTACGCCGTAGGCAGGTTTACTGGTAGCCATGCTGCTTGGTCCACGGACGATAACCAATGCGTATGGAATGAATTGTCACGCGGCGCCTTCACCTTGACTTCTACAACGCCTACATTGCTGGATACCCTGGTATACATGGAAACGTAGAAACCGGGGATTTTAGTGGGGACGTAGAGGTCCCTTTGTTGGAGCTTGCATATTTGATTCCGAAGGTCGTCTTTGGTTTCGAAAGATTTGCCGTTTGCCATGTTGGAGTTTCCTCTCTGCGGTGAGGTTGGATGCGGTGAAACTGGATATGATGAGCTGGATACGGTGGGATTGGATAAGGTTGAGACGCGAGATTATGGTAGACGCGATTGTAGTGAGGGAGACGCGTTTAATGTATCGTCGGAGGATAGTCACTGGCTCACACCAAGTCAACTGACGTCGATTGGGTCATCTGATAGAATGGACAGTCTGGCATTGTGAGACATGCGCATGGATTGTACGGCAAGGTATCATGGGAAGAACAGGAGGCCAACAGGTGTCGCAATAATTCGTAAGACTCTTAGCATTTGCGAACAACGCCCTACACCTACAGACCTCTTTTATTATTAGATATAATATGTTTTTCTCTAGCTTTAGAAGCTGCCTTATTATAGCTTTTACTTAATAGTATATAATGTTGTAAAAACGCTGTTGTCGTGGTTGTTGCGTAAATTCCAAGAGTCTCACGAATTATTGCGCCACCTATTGAGGCATAAGACCTGATAAATCACGAGGCATGGAACCTCAATCAGTAGACAGTGATCGCACAAGTGCAGGACGAACAGAACACATTGTCTATAGACTAATACTCGTACAAAACTACCGTAGTAAGAGGGAGAGAAAAAGGAGGTACAAGGTATGTTCACGGTCGCGTCTAGTCAATGAGCAAGCTATTCAACCTCGCCTCAGTAGCAATAACATCCAACGCCTGCTTGACCTCAAGCACTCTCCTGCACTCGCCCAACCAATCTTTGCTTAGTACCTTGGCCCAACCTTGCAAACCGTTCATCTCACGAGCCGCGGCATCAAGGTCGCCTTCTTCGAGGAGGACCTCCGTTCGTGCAAGCACGGCCTCAACATCACCTCCAACAGCCAGACCAGACTTCTTGAACAGCACCTTCGACATGGCGAGGGAGGCGAGGTGAGAAGCCACACCTGCGTCTTCAGGGAGAAGCGCCGCTTTCCTGACTTCAGAAGCGACGCGACGGAAGCGGTCGATCAGGAGGGCGGAGCTGGGGATACCGCGTTGGTAGGCGGCGGGGTTGATACTCGCAATAGCGGCGCTGACGACAGGATCATCGGCAGCGATTTCCTTGAGAGCCGCGAGCTCGGTGACAAAGGGCTTGGGGATGGCTTGTGTCTCGAGAGCCGACTTGACGGCCTCGACGGCGACGACGAGGTGTTGCGTCTTGAGGTTGGCGTCGACGACGCTGTTCCACTCGGCCGTCAGCTTCTCGAGCTCGTGCACGGACGAGGAGAGCTCGTTGAGCTTGCCGAGACGGCCGTCGCGTTCGGCTTCGACGCGCTCCCGGACGTTGGCTGTGAAGGACTTTTGCATGTTGATGCTCTGTTCCAGGAGTTGGTTCTTGAGCTTCTGGTCGTAGACCTTTTGGGCGGCCTGGAGTTCAGACTGGAGTCGCTCTTTGTAGGATTGCGACAGACGCTCGCGCTCGTTCTCGAATTCCTCCTTGAACTGGGCTTCTTGCGCCTGCATCTGGTGGTCGAGACGCTGGACGAGCTCCTTGGCGGCCTCGTCGAATTCGGCGTGGGCGGCCTTGACCTTGTCTTCGGTCTGCTTCTGGAGGCTCTCCTTCATTAGGTTGATGTCGGAGACGACCTTGGCGAGCTCGCTCTTGGCTTTGTCCAGCGCGGAGTTGTACCGGCCGTCGTGGGCGTTGTCGGCGTTGATGACGGTGATGATGTCGTTGACGATCTTGACGACATCCTGGACGACGGGCTCGGTGGCGGAGGGTACGCTGAGGTGGTCGAGCTGGGAGATGGGCGTGGCGGTCTCCTTCTTGACCTCCTTAACTTCCTTGACCGGAGCCTTCTTTTCCGTGGGCGCGGGTGCGCTTGATGAGACCTTCGGCTGTTGTCCACCTGACTCGGTCTTGTCCTGGGGCTTGTTGGCATCGACGGCGCTCAGATGGGGGCCCTTGGAGGCGAGGTCGCTCTTGTTCTCCTGGGCTGGTCGCGCAGTCAAGCCGCTCCGTCCGGGGATGGTGACCTTGTTCTCGCCCGAGATCTGGGGGTGCAGTCGTGGTTCGCCAGCGCGGCCGGGGAACCGCCGCCTGAACTCGCGCTCCTCGAAGTAGGCGACGGCATCCTCGCCGTAGGGGATGTATTCGGTGAAGAAGTCGTGGAAGTTGTCCGACACGAGCGAGTACCAGACACCGCCGGCGTACCCGAGGCCAGAGAGGACCGTCAGCCAGAGCAGCAGCTTGCGGAATATGCGTCTCTTCTTCTTGGGCTTGGGCTGGATCGGGTCGGGGGCGATGCTGGACGATCCGGGGCCGGTGGGGGGTGTCGTCTTGGGCGATATGGCGGGAGCATCACGCGATGCGCCTGCAATCACGGTGCTGTCGGGCGCCGGCGGTGCCTTGGGGATGTCCGAGGTGGGGATGGTGCCCTTGGGGTCGGAGGGCGAGGTGGTGGGCGCGGGATTGGGGACGGCCGTCTCGCCCAGGTTCTTGCTATCGGCGTAGCAGCGCTGGGCTGGGAGCCATTGCGGGCGGGCGGCGCGGGACAATGGGCGGGCAGCTGGACGAGCCCGTAGGATGGAGGCGCGCAGCATAATGGGCTGCCTCCGAATGGCGGATGGGTGATGGGGGGGAGGTAATTCGGCGTTGTTGATGGGCTGGACGTCTGCCAACATGAAGATTTGGAGCTCGACCAACACGTCAGGGTGCACGGACTCTCGGCAGTCCCAGGTTCTCGTCCGCCGCACCCACATGCTCCCACGACAACTCACCACCACTCCAAATTTGATGACAGCCAACAACATGCTGCGCCAAATCCACTCACACTCACAATCTTGCTCAATGACTAACCGCAGCTTCACTTCGGCTTCCCTTGCCGCGCGAGCCCACGGTTACTGATCCAAACTTGCAGCCACCCACTCACAGCGCCTCTTGTTATTCTGGTCGAGAGCAATGTACGGTTGACTGCCAACGAATTCTCTCACGGGTTTCTCTTATAAACTGTCGATTCTTTCTCTCTCTCTCATTTCAACCATCTCTCTCTCACATCACTTTCTCAATCAAAATTCTATCCAAAGCAGACCCCAACTGAAACCAGTCAAGTCAGCACAGCTGCGCCATATTGCAACGTCAGCACATTACGGCCACCATCACAAGCTACACCAGGCAGCCGCTTTTCCAACTTTTCATCACCCGCGCACTCTCACACAGCTTTCGAGCGCCTGAGATCGTCGCAAGAACCAGACCCACCTTCCAGATCCGTCTGCAGGAGCAAATTCCGAGTGTGGCTTTGTCCTCGGCTACCTTTACTCCGTCTCAACAAGCCTCGCCAGCAACACAGCCAGCACAACTTTGAGTTTTCAACTTCTGGTCAGCTGAGCATTCATCCCGAACACCTGTTCGCAGCATACTACGGGCCGAGAAAATCTCCCCCAACAAAACTCTCTCGCACGAGACAAAGATCTCCGCGCAAAACTCCAAACCCCGCGAAAATTTAAACAACACCCCGCAAAAATGTCTACCACACCATCATCCCACAGCTCCGCCACCGCGCGCGATGCCACAAACTACTCCTACGATCTCAGCAACGCGATATACGGCGCTTTCCCACACTGCGCAACCGATATCTCGCCGCGCAGATCACGCGCCGCATCTCCAAGTTCCGCGTCCGCATCAAACTCTTCAAAGAAGCGCACAGGCACGGTCACTGCAAACACCACCGGCACTGCAAACCGCACACTCTGCCGCCAAGCCATAAGTCTGCACCGCGAAAACGCGCCCCCAACCTGGCTGCCCGCACCAACTCCCACCAACAAGCGGAGTGCGCTCGCGAGAAGACAGCAAGGACAGCAAGGCATGAATATCCACGCGAGCACGTGCCTCAACCTCAATGCCAGCGCCGAAGAAGAAACCTCAGAAGCGGATCTGTGGATTTTGCCTGAGCTTGACGACTGGGAGGAAGACGAAACCGAGACTGAGTCTACCATTTTAACGCCTTCGAGTTCGGCGGAGTTGGATGCCCCACGACCGGCGGCTGGGGGAATGGAGAACAAATGGGCGGGTGTGCTGAGAAGGGCGGCGAATAGCAATCTGGAGCGACTTCGGACGACGATGGAGGGTGAGGGGTGGGATTTTGTTAAGCCCGCCAATCGCGATGAGGAGGATTTGGATGATGAGGAATTCGACGTAGTTATCGTTCGATGATGAACGGAAAAGCGACTTTACTATTTACGATACCCAATTTCTGTAGTTGTTTTAATGAATTGTATACCTCAAACCCAACTCAAAGCTTTCCAATCAGTGTGATTAGGCAACAAATTTTCCATCAACATGCTCTACCTAATGCCATGCTCGAGTTTTAGACAAGCGTCTTTGATCTTTGTGGTGCGTGTGCGTATACTATCACGATCCATCACGTTCTATCAAAAGAGTCGTCCACCACCGCCCCTCCACCGCCCCTCCGCCTCCCCTCCGCCTCCCCTCCGCCTCCCCCACCCACCCTTGGGAGTCTTGCGCCGCGCCGCCAACTCGAATCTCGAGCGACTTCGGACGAGGATGGAGGGTGAGGGCTGGGACTTTGTTAAGCCTGATGAGGAGGATTTGGATGAGGATGAGGAATTCGATGTCGTTGTTTTGCGCAAGGCGTAGGGGGATGAAAGGGCGGGAAGACTACGAGGGGGCTCACGATTACGATTTGTACAATGTTTATTGGCGGAAAAGCGACATCACCATTTATGATACCCAATTTTTGATAGAGTTCTGGATGAATTGTATACTTCAAACTAGGTCTTTGGGATTTGTGTGCATGGGGATGGTGGTGATGTGGACCTCAAACCACGTCTTGCATGAACATGTTGTTGTGAATGTTCCCATTGTATCCCTCAACCAAGATTATTACAAAAACATACTAAAAAACTTCTAATTATACACTTCCATCTCCAAACCAACCCTCCCTTCCCCTTCCCACCTCCCTTCCCCCTCCCCTTCCCCTTCCCCTCCCCCTCCCATCCCACACAAACACCACCTACTCAATCCTCTTCTTCCCCTCCTCCAACCCCAATAACCTCGCATCACTCTTGCCCCTCTCATGTTTCGCCGCACCCCCCACCAACGGGCCCACAACAGGATTATTCCTTACTTTGGCCAGCGTCTCTTGGAAGGCTTCGATTTGAGGGGGTTGGCGGTTGAGTTTGGGGAAGTTGACCTGTTACGCTTATTAGCATTGCTGTGGATATCATAGGCCGAGTGATGAATCTTACATATAACGTCCCGTGATTCCAAATGAAATTTGCGCAGACGGCTGCGGTGAGGAGGGAGATCAAAAGGAGAAGACGTAGCGGCCAGACCGTAGCATCAGGCGCGCGCTGGGTGAAGCTACCCACGAAAATGAGAAAGACGGCTGCGGCAAGGATATAAGGCACCGACTGGATGAAGAGCGGTCTCCGATCCGCGAAAAGAAGCTGTCCGCTCATACTAGAGTCGCTGGGCAGGTAGTTGCCCAGAAACAAGTCAAACGCATCCTGTCTCGGTCCGTCGGTGAAGTTATTAAGACAATACCTCGTGATACTATTATTCAGATCCTGCAGCGCACCAGCTTTTGTCCGTACACCCAAGCGGGTGAAATCTGTCTTGAGGGCTCCAGTACCAGAATATGATTTCGACACTACATCCGCGTTATCGGCCCAGACGTTGCGGAACAAGTGTTCGAATGCTTGGTCCTCCTCTGCGGACTCGCCTTCGCGCATGAGGCCGCAGTCGATGAGCATGCGGCTGAGGACGTAGCGGCCTAGCATACTCTGCACCACATTCGTGCGGTCGAGACAATCCATGCAGTTCGTGCGTACCACAGCGGTTTGATGTCTACGGACTTCCACGCCGCTGCCGTCACCGGGCATATCGACGCCGCAGAAGTAGCCGTGTTTGAGGATGTGGGGTTCGAGTTGGTTCATGAGGAGTTTGGCGCGGTCCCACCGCAGGCCCTTTGTCTCGTTGTGGAAGTCGAAGTAGACGTAGTGGAGGCGGTCGTATACGGTTTGCGCTTTGGCGGGGTCGATGATGTGGAATTTCTCGGAGGTGATGCGGTCGCCTTCGACGTTTTCGGCGGGGGAGGTGTGCAGCAGGTTGACCATTTGCTCGTAGGCTTCTTTGACGCGCTGCTCGCGGCCTTTTTGGTTGACGAGGTTCACCATCCAGTTGTCGCCGTAGAGCCGGATTTGCTCAGCGAAGTGCTTTTTGGCGGCTGGCAGCGCGTTGTCGATGCCGCGGACTTGGAGCTTGGGCGTGTATTTTAGGGTGTTGATTTCGGCCCAGTAGACGGGGACGCTTCCTCTTGTTTGCACGTATGCAAGCACCTGTGTCTCCTTTCCGGCATTTCCACCTGCTGCGCCGTTCTGGTTTGAGCCGAATCCGCCGGGGCCGCCCGATGCGTTGTCGTTCAGGATGATGGTCTGCTCCGTCTCGTTGAAGTTGGACACGTTGCCGTTCTCGTCGATGCCGCGCGAAAAGTAGCGGGTTCCGGCCTTGAGGCGCGAGCGGCGGGTGATGAGGATGAAGGTGAGAGGGGTGCCCTTGATGGATGTGTTCTTGATCTCGAGCATTCCGTACATGACGGGCAAGATGTAGGGGTCCGCGCCTGGCTGGTGTCCGCTCGAGTGCCTGCCATATCCGCCGCTGAGACCTCCGCGGAAGTCGATGAGGTCGCTGGAGACGAAGCGATTCCAGTAGAAGCGGTCGTCTGCGCGCTTCCACAGGGGCGTGGCGGGGTCGAGGTGGGCTTGGCGCTGGAAGGTGTTGGTGATGTCGAAGGAGTAGGAGAAGAACAGCGGGGACGTCTTGATGAGCGTCTTGAGCAGGCTGAGGTAGTTGTCCTCGTCGGCGTCGTGCAGCGGCTTCTCGCGCAGGGAGAGGAACTCGGTCGAGACTATCTTGTAGATCATGTGGCCCTTTATCCGGCCCATGGGCTGGGCCTTGGTAATGACGATGATGTACTTGTCTTCACGTGCATCAGCATTCGTGTCCCCTGGTGCTGTGCAGGAGAGGCATACCTAGTCGCAGCTTGATCATGCCGAGGATGCCGGCAATGCTCGACACGCGCTTGGAGCCCAGCAGCTTGCCATCGTGGAGGCGGATGTCACCTGACGGGCGGTCTACGACGAGTGTAGGGGCCGAGGGCGACGAGGGCGACGAGAAGGCGTAGTGCGAGGGCGACGAGTGGACGTTGATGTCGCGGTAGGGGAGAGCGACGCTCATGATGTCGTCCACCTGCGTGTATACGGGGATCTGGGCGTGGTGTTGAGTGTACCTGGGTAGTGTTTGGCGCGATGTGTTTGGATGTGTTTTCTCAAACGGGAGGTTTCGTCATGGCGGCCATTGCGGCCAAGGGTCCCCGACTCGCGCGCTAGGGCCAAGCACCAGACGCAGCACCTCGTCACAGCACCATCCAGCTCTTTCACCCTCACCACACCCCAACACGCCTCTCGAGACCATACCCCGACCCGGTCCCGCCTTGACCGCTCACTACTCGCACCACCACCCTCGCCCACTCTACACCACCCCCCTCCGCCACAACCCGCTAGCGCCGCGTCACCCCCATCATGTCGGCCAGGATGCAGCAAGGCCAACGGCCCGGAGGCTCCAGATTCGCACAGTTCAAGCTGGTGCTGTTGGGTATGAGATTATTATCATATATCTATTAAGACATGACTAACGTCCCCAGGTGAATCCGCCGTCGGAAAGGTGCGCAGGCCTATCAAGGCAGCCATGACATAAGCTAACATGCCGCAGTCGTCTCTAGTATTGCGCTTCGTCAAGGTACGCCATACCACATGTCCAGACATGTTCCGAGGACTAATGTTTGCAGGACCAATTCGACGACTACCGGGAATCCACCATCGGCGCCGCCTTCCTCACCCAAACCATCGCCCTCGATGAGAACACGACGGTCAAGTTCGAGATCTGGGATACCGCCGGCCAGGAGCGCTACAAGTCGCTCGCGCCCATGTACTACCGAAACGCAAACTGCGCCGTCGTCGTCTACGACATCACACAGGCCGTACGTCTCCCCTCGCTCGCCCCATCTCATAATTAGATCATTAAACTAACACCCCCAGGCCTCCCTCGACAAAGCAAAAGCCTGGGTCAAAGAACTCCAACGCCAAGCCAACGAAAACATCATCATCGCCCTCGCCGGCAACAAACTCGATCTCGTGACCGAATCCCCCGACAAGCGCGCCATCTCCACCGCCGACGCCGAGCAATATGCCCGCGAAGCCGGCCTCCTCTTCTTCGAGACGTCGGCCAAGACCAGCGAGAACGTGAAGGAGCTCTTCACGGCTATCGCGAAGAAACTGCCTATCGACCAGGCGGGTCCCAGGAACCTGAGACCGGGACAGCAACGACAGGGCGTTAACCTCAGGCCTGAGGCTAATCAGACTCAGGGGCCTGGTGGGTGCAACTGCTAGGGTTTTGTGGGATGGGGAATTTGGTTGTTTGGTATATCGCGAAGACTACAGAGGAGATGCGATGCGACATGGGATGGGTCCATGCTACCACTGGGTGCAGAGATGGCACATGGTATAGTCTTCTTCGTACGTCTCTCAGTATGTTCATTGTGGGACATTGGTGTGGGCTTATTTGGAGTAAAGGGTTTGTGTTTGATCGCTCGAAGTCCATATTGCTTTGTTCACTCAAGAGAAGATATTTTGGGGCTACTTGCACCGATTTTTAATTAATGAATTTCGACAATCAGTTTTGCTCCTTTGCTTCGCCGCAGTCTTTCTATCGCCGCTTCCTCAGTCCAAGTTCGTCTTGGAAGATCTTAGTTATTGTCTCTCCGTCCTTTTTGTTGGCCGTGCTTTTGGCATATCCGTCCGCCTACTCTGCATTCTGCTCCTCATCCTCATCGTTCCGTGCATCCCCCTTCTTCTCCCCATCCTTTTCCCCCTTTTCCTTCTCACCCTGTCCCTGTTTCTCTTCTCTCCCCTTATCTTTTCCCTCTTCCTTCTTCCTCTCGTCATTCTGGATCCCTCCCGCATTTCGCTTCCCTCCCGCTCCCACGATTATGCTATCTTGTGACATGGTTAAGCTGATGAGTAGTGTGAGGAGCGTTGCTTAGGGCTTGTCTTCGGGCGGTTTTGGGCGGATGAGGGGAGTGGGTGTTGTTGTGGTGGGGGGTGGGATGTGGATGGTTATAGTGGGGGTTTATGGTGGGTATGTTTGCGCTGGGGTGATTGCGAGCTTGCTGTGATTTATGTTGCAGGTGGATTTAGAGTGGTGTGATGCGTGATGCTGGCAAATATGTGGTTCGTGGTTTGTGAGCTGTGAATGCTTGGAGAATGGCTTTGAGGATAGCTATGTCAGTTGATAACCACATTTCATACATTCTAATCACGAGCCTGCCACCTCATGCGAGAACCATGCCTTGAGACCACTACAAACTAACAAGTCCGTCTACACGTCCGAGATAACCCCTTAATCAGTGTACTGAAAAGTCACACACGTCCTCTTTCCCCCGACCGTATACCAACCCACCACCCACCTATCCACTTCCACATTATCAACAAACAGACCCGGTACACGAGTCCCATACTGTCCATACATATTGACTACATCTCCACGCTGATCCCTCTCTAGATGAATTGACCTCCACCATCCCCCCCTCCACCGCCCCACCGCCTCCCCTCCGCCTCCCCCACCCACCCTTTGAGCGAGACATATATGCCAGGGAGAATCATAGGCGCGTATAACTCTTGTGCCGCTTGGATGAGATGCGAGCTTTGGTTGTTGAGCCGCGTTTTCAGGTTCTTGAGCTGCGTTTCGAGGTTGGCCAGTTGGGCGTCCCGCACTGTGAGTTGCGCGTTGACGTTGTTGAGGGCGGCCTTGAGTGCTGGTACTGTTGTCATGGTAGAGCAGACTGGTAAGGAGAAGGGGGCAAAGAGTATTCTGGTTCTACAGTAATAGTTGTGGTGATGCTACGGAATTTAATCGGGGGTTGGGGTACTTAAGGATGAAGAACGAGATCTTTTCGTACTAATACTGATGGTTATAGTGTTTGTGTCATGTCAAATGACGCCCGTTGCGTGATCTGACAGCATGCCCATGGAGTTATTCATCGCCTGCTACCATCCACTCCCCTCACCCGTCCCCCCATCGTACACACATCTACAGCAGCACCCTACCCAGTCACCTGCTCACCCCTCGCTTCAAAGCTCATCCACGTCCTAATCCCCTCCAAAGTAGTATGGCAAACCAGCACCTTCCTATCAACCTCCTCTCGATCCACAAACAGCCCCGGCAACCGTATCCCATGTCTCCCATGCATGTTCTTGTCTCCACGGCGCGACATAATCCCAAGGTCGTCGCCCTAGGTCGACCACTGGATCTTGTACTGCGTTTCCCCCGGCAGCTTGATTTGTACTTGGACTTGGCCTGAGAAGGCACTGGCGTCGAGCGAGACGTAGATACCGCGGAACGGGGTTATCGCATACATTTCTGTTGTTGCGGCGTAGAGTCGGGCGTCGCTGTCCCGGAGCGACGTTTTGAGATCATTGACTTCTCTCGTTGCAGCGTAGAGTCGGGCGTCGCTGTCCCGGAGCGACGTTTTGAGATCATTGACTTCTTTTGTTGCGGCGTAGAGCCGGGGGTTGCTGTCTCGGAGTGACTCAGTGTGATCGTGGATCATTTTTTGTAGTTGAGATGTGTATGACGGAGGCGGAGGCATGATGAGGTTGGGTGGTTCGGTGGATAGAGGGGGGTGGTAGTGGTTCTGAGGTGGTGTGGTGATGGTAAGAGATGTGAGTGGATTGAGATGGGCGAGAAGAGCGCGTTTCGTTGTATAGATGGATGGAAGTAATGGGAGTAAGTGGGTCCGCGGTACGTTGATTGATGTGTCTTGTGTGGTGTGATGGTGTGGTGTTGGGATGCATGCGAAGTGCGCATGGGCTCGGACGCAGTTGCTGGAAGGTGATGTCGTTGCAAGGCAGGTGGGTCTGAGGATGTTGATGAGCGACTTCCGTGGAAATGGCAAATGGGAAGTGCGCAGTGAACATCGAATCATCGCTTCGCTTGGACAAGGGAGTAAGATATCAATTGCACTTCTTCTCGCTTCGAACAGCTGAAGTGGACAGCTTCTAGTATCAGTGTTCGGCGCCTGCTACAACTCGCCCAGCTCATCCTTCTCCCGAGGCCCACATCTGCGCAGGTACCCCACAGGCTATCAAATCTCTTCCCCAAACTCCCTCCCCTACCCAAGTCACCTCACACGATCCATGTCTGTCTGATCCTCAACCCTCACAACCGTCTTCTTCATCCCCGCCGCAAATGGTGTCCAAGTTATAACAATCGGCGCCTCCACCTCTTCCGGCGCAACAAACACACCGGGAAGGCGCACACCAACTCTTCCCTGCATGTCCACCATGTGTTCTGGTCTGTGTCCTTCATATGGCAGGTGGGACAACCGTATCGGGGAGGGAGTGGTATAGGGCTGAAGCTCTCCGTTTGCCGATAGTGCTAGCCGCTCAACCGTCATGTAGACGAAGCCGTTGGATGTGTCTCTGTTGGGGGAGACGTACACGCCGCGGATGTGGATGGGGAAGTATAGCTCTTTTGTGACAATTCTTAGATGAGCGGTGAGTTCGTCGATTCGATTTTCCAGGTCGACTATGCGCGGTCTGGCCATGGTGGGATGAGTGGATGAGTAGATAAGTGGACAAGTTGGTGAGAAGTGGTGGATGGTATGTTTGGGTGGCGGGATTTCCAAGGTTGGAAGCGGACTTTGATGACTGGGAAAGGTGGAAGGGGCGTTGTTCTGATAAGCGGTTAGTGGTCACTGGGTTTGCACTGAGCTAAACGACGGGCTTTCTGTAGAGCAACTGTGAGGATGATCTTACGTCCGCAAACTGTTTGAGAGATTGATCTAGAAAACAACAACTGAATCTGTCTTTGGAAGGAAGGAAGGTCTGAGAACATGTTGATGAGCGACTTCCGTGAGAGATGGCAGATGGTAAGTGCGCAGTGAACCCAACTACAACATCCCCTACTGCAAGAATACAACGGCAACTACCAACCTCTCAACACATCGGAACCATTACGTATTCATCTTGCTCAGCCTCATCCCTCTCCTGTTGACCTTCTTTACCCACGGGCTCAATTTGTATAATCGACCTCGTCCCTCCATCCAGCGTCCAAACGACCAGCAGTGGCTTCTCCACCTCTTCACTCGCAACGAAGATACCAGGCACACGTACACCGGTCCTGCCATGCTTGTCGACGCTTGTATCAGCGGAGGCTTTCAAAGTTGGTATGGTGACTTTGTCGTCACGAGCCTTTCTTGTTTCGTCCCAGGACGATGACCACTCGAGGCTATGGTTGGTGGCTCCTGGGTGGCGTATCCCAAATCTTATGCGGTCGGGGAGGGCGCTGATGGTGGGAGACATGTACAGGCCGCGAATTTCAGTTGGGAGGTAGAGTTCTTGAGCTGTCGTTTTCGATACCTTTACCCAGGATGACATAACGAATCAGTGGCTGGTCCTTGGTAGTCTAGTACTCTTTGGTGATGTGATCTCGCGCGGTCGAGGGAAAAGCACTGGACTTTATGGTAAATGCTCAACGTCACTGAGCTTGCTCTGCCTGGGTATATCAAACAAGAAGTGGTCATTTGACGTATGCCCATAGCTAGTCTTTCGCAAACTATCCCAAGCAGCAGACTTGGCAGTAATGCGATACCTCATTCATGGCGACTAATTGCGCCCTTGTGCAATCACATTCTCGATCTTTTCAAAAACTGTACCCAAGTCTCCAAGTGATAGTCGTCCTTATCCTTGTTCCCATCATCCTCTTTCCTTTCTTCCTTGTGAACGTCATTCTCAACGCTTCCGCTTTTTTGATTGTCTTTCCCATCGTTCTCCCGTTTCTTAGGCGGCGCCTTCCCTGCTTAGCGCGGCTCCATCCTCGCTTTCCCATCCTTGACAGGCGTTAAGGTCGACATGTTCTTAAAGCTTTACTAGATATGTAGCGTGTTGCTTCAGTGTATGAGCTTAGATAAGTGTTTACTCGTGGGAAAAAAGCCGAGAAGAGGTATGCGATACACGTTCAAGAGAGCAGATGCGTGATTTAAAGAGAGTCTGGGGGTTTGCGAGTGACACCACGATTCCATAACGCAGAAATGATCACGAAAACGGTTAGTCAATTTCTATGATCGGGGTACAATCTCTGTGTGAACGCGACATATAGTCTGTCGATTTCCTTCCATGAAAGATGTTGTAGGTCTTAGACCATCTCGTAGAGGCTTACAGCCCATGTTAGGTTGACGGTAAGCAAAGGTGAAGACGTAGCGTCGATGGAGGCGTCAAGGTGTCTAGATATTCTCCCTCACGAACACGGTGATACCTCCTGCCTCAACATTAACGAGAAAAGGAGATGCGACGCCGTACGATCCAAAAGGTGGTGACGTGGGCGTACCTGGGTACCTAAGCTTAGATCTCCTGGCGATGCAACGAGATGCACTCGTTCTGTCTACACTGCCGCGCTGCCCAGATATCCCACGAGCGCGCGCATATCAAGCCACAGATAAGCGCGAGCACCATATTGTCCATCGCCCCGACAAGAGCCTCGCAAAGACGTCGCTGGGTCCATCAGAATGCCGTCAACCGGGTTGGCGGCGGGGTACATGCAGCACTCTCTCGAGGTCCGGAACGCGTATCCACTCCATCACCTTCCAAGATTCAGTCAAGCTCCCCCAAGAGCAGCTAACACGCCGTCGGACCCAACAGCTAGTGGCTTGACTTTGCTTGTTTATCGCGGCGCACGATGATGTCGAAGTTTTGTAGCTGCCTAATCCAGCGTTAGCGCGGCCGTTTCCGCAGGCTAGAGCAGTTCCCGTCATATGCCCTTGCTATCATGCCAACTTCACACCCCGCCTTTGTGAACATCGCTATTTGCGTTATCACACACCACGGACGAATCACGACGCGTGATGAACAGGCCGTCTGTTGTTTTCGCTAGCTTGGCAACGCTGACCAGGTCGCGATGAAGAGATTGCCTAGCCTTGCTCGTACCGCACGCGATAGCAATCCAGTCAAGGCTGTTCCGACGATACGGCGATCGACATGCATGTACTATGCGCTTTACTATCGTCCTTCCAGATGGGGCGCCCTGCCCTAGGGTCGCCAAGGTACCATGAAGCTGTATGACGCGAGTCTGGGCGGAGCTTCGCAGGAGCTTAAATAGCTGGCAAGGCTTGCTTGGTGGGACTGGGCGTGCGCGTTGTTGTCTGCATCTGTTTTTTTGAGACGCTGCTATACAATTGCTACAATGCAGATCTTCGCAACTGTTGTGTTGGCTGCTGTTGCCGCGCGGGATGCGCTGGCTTCGCCGATTCAGGCTCGCTCGCCGTATGTGGTCAAGGAGACGCATTATGCGCCGAGGGAGTGGACGAAGCTTGAGAGATCGCATGGCGGGAAGACGATTCAGCTGCAGATTGGTCTTAAGCAGGGGAGGTTTGAGGAGCTTGATCGCCATCTTCATGAGGGTATGTTTTTTTTTTTGATTCAAAGGTATGCGGCGGCATCTGAGCTAACGACGTGTAGTCTCTGACCCTGACCATGCCCGCTACGGTCAGCATCTGAGTGCCGACGAGGTCAATGAGCTCGTTGCACCTAGCTCTGAGACCCACGACTTGGTGCACGAGTGGCTCGCCGAGAGCGGAATCGACACCAGCAACCTTGGCTACAGCTCGGCCAAGGACTGGGTCATCGTCCATCTTCCCATTGAGATGGTCGAGAGTCTGCTGGACACCGAATACCACAACTACAAGCACAAGGATGGCTCTGTTGTTGCGCGTACAACAGCTTGGTCTCTCCCACGCCACCTACACGCTCACATCGACACCGTTCAGCCGACGACATCCTTCTTCCGCGGCGCAGCCCACGCCGCGACATTCGTCGACGAGGCTGCCGAGGTACCCAAGAGCTACCACACACCCCAGAACTCGTCCATCTCTGCCGTGTGCAACGTAACATCCGTCACCCCAGAATGCTTCCAAACCCTCTACAAGACCAAGTGGTACCACACCAAAGCCAGCCGCAAGAACAGCATCGGTTTCACAAACTACCTCGGCGAAATCCCCATCCGCCCCGACACCAAGATGTTCCTCGAGAAGTACCGCCCAGAAGCCGTCTCGCAAGCCCACGCCTTCAAGCAAATCTCCATCGACGCCGGCCCCGTCCAAGACGGACCCCTGACCTACAACCAATCCACCGTCGAAGGAATCAGCCGCGAAGCCAACCTCGACGTGCAAGCCATCTCCGGAATAAGCTGGAAAACACCCATAACCTCCTATTCCACCGGCGGCCAACCCCCCTTCGTCCCCGACATCTCCACCCCCACAAACACAAACGAACCCTACCTCGCCTGGGTAAATTGGCTCCTAACCCAACGCTCCATCCCGCGCATCATCTCGACCTCCTACGGCGAGCCCGAGCAAACCATCCCAAAGAGCTACGCCGAGCGCGTATGCCGGCAATTCGCCCAAGTGGGCGCCCGCGGCACGACCCTCTTTTTTTCGTCTGGCGACCGCGGTCTCGGCGGCACGGATACCTGCTACACCAACGACGGCAAGAATACGTATCAGTTCCAACCCGCGTTCCCTGCGTCTTGCCCGTACGTCACGACTGTTGGTGCGACCATGAACTTCGAGCCTGAGGAATCGGCTTACCGCCCGAGCCGCAATACGACGGCTGGGTTCCGTGATCTTTACAGCAGTGGCAGTGGGTTTAGCAACTACTTTGCGCGTCCTTGGTATCAGGATAAGGTCGTGCCTAAGTACGTGAAGTCGCTTGGTGATACGTACGAGGGGTTGTACAACAAGACCGGCCGCGGCTACCCCGATCTCGCGGCCCAGGGTCTGTATTTCGCGTACTTCTGGAACGGAACCGAGGGTACCATCTCTGGTACTTCAGCCTCGTGCCCGTTGACAGGTGGTATCTTTGCGCTTGTTAATGATGCGTTGTTGGCGGCTGGGAAGCCGGCGTTGGGTTTCATGAACCCGTGGTTGTATAAGAAGGGGTACAAGGGTTTGACTGATATCACAAAGGGATTCAGCAGGGGTTGCAACGTTGAGGGCTTCCCGGTTACCGAAGGTTGGGACCCGGTTACTGGGTTCGGTACTCCGAACTTCCCTAAGCTTGTTAAGTTGGCGGGAGCGGATTGTGGGTACTAGGAGTGACGTGGAAGTGGACGCAGTGTTTAAAATCTGTTTGGAAAGGATAGATTCATGCGAATGAAGTAATGTTGTATGGTAACTTGTTGTTCAGCATCATGTCGTGTATCATACAGTGATCATATCCCAATTCATAATGGCGTGCTCCCCCTTCCATGCCACCCATGCCCCAACGACACGGTAGTTGAACAAAGCATGGCTCACAAGGCAGCTGGGGTTACTCTTTCCCATTAGAAACTGTTATGGAACCAATAAATGACTTTCTTTAAAGCCACTTTTTGGTTACATAACAGTTTCTAATGGGAAAAAGTAACCCCAGCTACCTTGCAAACCCCGGTGATCCAGAATACCTCAGTATGAATCGACCACCGGTCCGCTGTACCAACTGCCGCAGTCCCCTCCCCTCCATCTCTTCTCGTACCGTTTCTCGTTACTCCGCACCGTTCGAAGTAGCGACATCG